AAACTTAGCAGCAGTGTATCCCATTGAGAAATATTCAGGTTCACATTGCTGTCGGTTATAATAACAGTGTCACCTGGTTTTTGCAGCCTGCAGCCTTGTTTGTGCTGTAGGAAGCAATATAAGCAAATGATTTATAAGCTTTAATCACTTACTGTATTATGTGCTTGAGTGTATTTACATAACAGTAAACCCCAAGTTTGCCGTCACATTTACTGTTTAAACAAAGCAGAGGGTCTGAGTGGGGAAAAATGTCTCATGTCTTATATCTGTTCTTTTTAAAATTGGGTTTGGGGTTTTTCAAAACAACATTTCTCAATGAGGTGCCAGAAAAGGCCAAAGAGAACATCAAGCAGGTCACACACAGGAGCACTGAGAGCAAATCTGCATGATGAATAACCCTGGTCTCATGGAAAATCACAAAATAGTCCCGAAATGTGATCTGTTTGTTCATGCACACAAATTTTCCCTTTCTTTGACCAAACCACAACTAACCTCCAATGACCTACCACCTAAAGAGAAGTACTGGGCAGCAGACAGTACTGTGGAAAAAATACCCGTTCTGTTATGGAAGGCTGAAAGTGTCGAAATCAGAACTAATAAAGAAATGAAAACTATTAACTCCACTGCAAATTATGCTAAAATAATTGTGGGCATTCATTAAGTTTACTGAATGGCCATCTTTGAATGACATTCCTCTTATTTACATAGTTAATTAAGAATCAAATGTAGAAAGAAATAAAGAAATAAACAGGTTAACTGCATGTATATGTATGTATAAATAAATAAATAAATAAATAAATAAGAGAAATAAACTGGGGGAAAGAAGCAAATAAGAAGCATTTAAGTGATTTTGATCAAGATGACCAAATGTCATATTTCAGAAATGATTAAATATCTAAAAAAAAAAAAGTCAATTTATTTTTTATGTACATTTATTTGGCATATTTATTTGTGTCAGGGAAATTTTTATCCGTTATATGATTTTGGCTGTTTTGGTCCTCCATACATATATATTATGACGTCAACTGGAACCTGAAAACTAACATGGCATTAAGCAAGCTGAAGTAGCACTCCTGCATAAAAATAAAAGTAGCACGTAGGGTCTGGGCGACACAGATGGGCTGTTACAAATGAAAAATAAAAGGTGAAATGTCTTTTTTTTCTTCTCCAGGCTTTTATCACTTCATTTAGCCTAATTATAACCATGAATTCCTGTGTTTCTGTTATAAGTGTAACAACATAGACAGCTATGTCACAAAAAGCTGTTTAGTAAAGTTGTCTTTAGCATCTGTTTTTGCTACAGGGAGAAAGAATAACTGATAACATCAGGAGATAGGTCAATAATCCCGTCATCTTTGGTCACATGCAGACATGTGGTCCACACAACACAACAAAGGTAAATGATACTGCAGCCAGCTACTATAACTAACACTAAGTATCAGCTATTAATAATTACCACACTTTTAGTGTTCTACAAAAGATTCAGGGCACAGAATACTTTATCTGTGAATGACTCAACAAAATATGACTACCCATAGTCATATAGACAACAAGCCCTAAAGTGATTCTCATTGCAGTTATATTCACCTTAATTTCTCAGGTTTTCTCCCACTGCTAGCTGGATCGTCTGATAGAAAATCAGGAAGTGCTTCCCATCTGAGCCAATCAGAATAAGCAGATTGTCTTTTTGGAATTTCACTGTATAAACTGTATTTCGTTACCCTATATTCATACATGTGTAATGACAATAAAGTTGAATCCTAATCCTAGTCAATGAGGCCATGGCTATTAGGTAAAATTTGACACTTTTTATTGCCGTATTTCTCCAGCTGCTATGTAGATGTTGCCTGAAATTTTTAGGGCCAAAAACGATATTTAAGCTCTGTTAAAAAATTCCACCAAAAGCGCCACTCGCATAGCTCATTGCAATCTAAATCCAAAATCAAATCTTGTCATTGATATAATGAGATTACAATAATTTGAAAAGCAAAACTGAATCAGCTTAATGTTTATGATGTACAGTAATAAAAACAAGCAGCTTTAAGGGTGCAGGGATTGGCCCACTGACCTTCAGGCTGTTAGACGTGGATACCTCCTGAGCTACAGCTGCCCATGTATGCATCCACCCCTCAGCCTGCTTTCGTGTCAAGAAATTATTTATTCTATTCAAAAGAAATTTAACATAAAAAATAAAACTAAGACATAAACTAGTAAACAAAACTGAAATTGGATAGTTTCAAACAATAAAAGGTAAATGGAAACTAAATAGAGCCAACTTTAACTTCCACTAGTGGGATTGATTGTTTTTCAGGATCATAGCCTGAGCGTGTGTGAAAGTGCTTAGAAATAGATAAAAGTGTTGCATGAATGTGTGTGGGAGACTGGGTGAAAGAGACTTGTAGTAAGAAAGCACTTTGAGTGCTCAAATGAGTAGCAAGGTGTTGTATGGGTACCAATCCAATTCTGCTGAAAGTTGGATGTGTTAACATGGGAGTCTATGGAAACTGACTCACTTTTGGAGCCAGCCTTAAGTAGATATTAAAACGTCTGCAGGTTTGTGACATTCCTCTGCACGTTTAATAAAGAAGTCAAACCTTAGCAGCAGTGTATCCCATTGAGAAATATTCAGGTTCACATTCCTGTCGGTTATAATAACAGTGTCACCTGGTTTTTGCAGCCTGCAGCCTTGTTTGTGCTGTAGGAAGCAATATAAGCAAATGATTTATAAGATTTAATCACTTACACTGAAGCACATAATACAGTATTTACATAACAGTAAAATCTCAGTCATATATAAAATCTGCACAAACCCGAAGTTTGATGTCACATTTACTGTTTAACCAAAGCAGAGGGTTTGTGTCAGGGAAAAATAGGTCTCATATTTTGTTTGTTTGTCTCATATGTTGGCTACACATATAGCCAACATTCTGGCCAGTGTTAGCTGACCCTAGCTGACAGATGAATTTCAAACTACTTGTAAATCAAGTAGTTTGTGGGCATCTGATTTTGTTCTTATTCTGCTAGTAACATCACTGAGATGTGTATAATTCCTAAAAAAAAATAATCCCAAAAACACTGTTTGAAATTTTCACTACAGTGACCAGGTGACACACGAACGTGAACCACACCAAGATAACAGGAAGAAGAGTAGATCGTGTCTTCATCTGTGTAACTAGGCAACACAGAACCCCTGAGACTTTTCTCCATTTTATCTGAGCTCATGCTGGATTTTGTGTTTTTCCTTACATGAATAAATGCAATTACAACATAAACCTGACCATAAAGTGATACCATCTGATAATAACATTACATAACAACTGGTTCTCAGATGCGAACATATGTGGGCTGAATTTCAAAAGGCACCAGGACCAGCAATGGAAAGAAAGAAGTAGGACTGGGGACAAAAACTCACTCTGGAAATGAACTTAAACTAATCTCAACTGTATGATAAACACTAAAAATAAAAACTGATGATCTAACATGAAGCTGTCATAACTCTGGCTCCAAGTTTGGGGCCCAACTATTTTTGATTTTTCCTTGCAGAAAAAAAAAACATCACTGCCTCCTCTCCCTCTGGGGGTTTTCTCACTTTCCCTCAGATATTTATCCTTTTTCCATCACCTCCATCCTTCACCTTTAATGCCAACACTTTTCCACGCATTCAGTTTTCCTCTCCACCATCTGTCTTTCTCATTGTCTCCTCCTCAGTGCTGACTTTCTATGTGAACATTAGGATACTGACCGATACTGTATGCTGTGCTATGGCAGCATAGAAAGCATGAAAGGAAGTGAGGAAACCAATGTGTTTTGGTTTGTTTGCCTTTAATTTGACAGTAATTTCCCTCCGCACTTTGTATTTGTTGCTTTGCTTCTGTTTTTAACAGCCAGTTTGTACACTATTGGTACAGCGGCGCCACCTAGTGGACATAGACATAGATGTGACTTGCACCCATACTCATGTTTCGTCTTTCTAATCACTTTTATTTCCATTTAAAATGAAGTGAAGACAAGATGTGAAGGAGAATTTATGAAGAAGTTCAGAGAATCTGACAGTACTTTCAGAAATTTCCTAAATTATACTGACATATGTCCGCTGTGGTGAAGCTACAATACCCTGAAGATAGACTAAAAAACCTTACCGTGCTGTTTCATGCAGGTCCTACAAACATTTCATAATTAAGGTTGCAACTTTACAGAAAAAGGAATAATTTTTCTGAATAGCTGCTCATGTTGTCCATTCATGTTCCTAATGGAAAGGTTATCCAAAGCAACTCCTGCTTTCACAAAGGACTCCTGTTAGTGAAGTCTAAAGTTACTCATGTCTGTAACTAATGCAAACTAAATCATGGTGACCCTTAATTTTACTCTGATTAGCAATCTTAATTTACAGAATTGAATAAAGTAAATCAGTTTTATTCACCTATGGAATGGATTAATCTGTCCAGCTTTAATTATCCCTACTGATATTTCAGGGTAAATTAAACTCAGTGAGGAAACTTCCTAAGACTGACTATCTGAACCTTGCCCAGATCCCAAGAGGTAGACTGAAATGTGACATATCTAAAACTAAATTCATGCAATGAACCATGCCCGTTGCAGGTTTTGCATTTAACAGTAAGGAAGATTATATTTTATTTAAATGCAACTTTCCCATCTCTCTCCCTCAGTAAATAAACACATTAAGGATCTAAAGAAGCTAAAGCTTTTTGTTACATTGTTCTGTTTGTATTTTTATATTGCCTTTGACCATCCAGGCAGCTGTTAAAACCGATGGTAACTCTTACTTCCTCTTAATTCCACAGTATAGAAATTGACTGCAGCTGCAAAAAACTAACAAACAAACAAAAAGGATTTTATTGTAATTAACAGCATCGATCACTTGTCTGAATGCATTATGAGGCGGTTGTTGGAGGGACTTCTGTTCTAAGAGTAGAATAACTGTGAACCTCAGCAGTTAGAGCAGTCTGGCAGACAATAAGGAAAAGCAGAGCAGGTCCCTTTTAATAAATATTTTTAATTTGGTTTGGAAGTGTTAAAACAATACTTAAGACAAAAACTTTTTACACCTTGACAAATGAAATAAATTTTCCTTCTCTTGCTCTTCTGTAAGGCCAGTTAATTTACTTCACTGTATTTTATAACCTAGGAAATTCCACCACCTCTTAAAATATGCTGAATAATAATAATCCCCAGGCCTCTGTGGGCCACGGAGTCCCTATACCATACAAAGTAGATCATTTTAAAAGACTGTGGCTTTGACTACAGCCAAGCTGGTGCCACGGAGTCGGTAAATGACTTGTGGTCAGCTAATTAAGTATAGGAAACAGGCTGACTGTCCTGTCTACTAGACCACAGACGGACAGAAGTGCTGAGTCCTTCTCTAAACTTTAATCTAAAGGGTTTTAGATTAACAAGAGGCACTTAAACAGTGCGTGAATGCTGCTGTCACATAAACCTGACTCATCAAAAATGAGCCAATAGTTTAGTGGCAGTTATGGAGAAAATGTCTAAAACTGACAAACAATAACTCAGGCACGTATCAAATCACCACAAACAGATGTAGGTAACTCTATAACTAGGTGGACTCAGTAACTGGAGGCTGGGTGATCTCGTCTTCCTCCTCCATCTGTGTCTCTGGGTTTTTATCAGCTGTACCGTCTGCCTCATCCCCCTGTTGATTATCATTCTTTTTGAACTGCTTTTTAAAGTAGTTGTTGAGCCGCTCCAGGATTTCGATTGAGTGGTTGATAACCAGCGCCAGCCAGGCCATGCCAAAGAAGATCCACGAGGCTATGAGGAAGCTGTACCAATCTGGGTAATATTTGTCTGGATTGCTATCTGGAAAGAAGAAAGGATTTGGGGATTTTACAAGATAAAATTCAGTTTGAGTCGAGTATACAAAACAGATGTGATCAGAATGCGATCATTTCTAAAACGTGGCTTATACTTTTTCAAGGTTTTCTCACTGTGCACCACTGAACCACTTTTCCTAAATCACTTCTTAGAAGTCCTCTTCTAACTTCCTCCTAAACGATGTCCCTGGATTCCAGAGAAGAGAATCAACTTGCATAGATGCAAATTTGATAAGCAGGGTGAAAGGTGAGCAAAGCGTGCTCAAGTTTCTAAACGTAAAATGGGACCCGGAGCTTTCACCTATCAGACTCTTCTCCTGTGTATTAAGTTTGGATCCAGAAACTCTACTCAGCTTTAATATTAAACTCAGATTTTTTTTTCAATAAACCTTACAGTTAGAGCCCTAAACCATCCGTCAACTATTCTTTTATAGGCTCAGACTGATGCATGACTTAATGTGATTCACAGAGTTCTTCTTCTCTCACTTGTTTTCATTTCCAATGTGTTTATACACTACTAGGGCATGCCAGTACATTTCTGTTGTTTCTCTTCCTGTTAAAAGGGAAAATTTAGAGTATTCAAGTTGGCTTTATAGTGATAGTTTTTAAAAGCATTAGCTAACTCCTTAGCAAATGATAGTTGAAGTGGTCAGTTGCAATATTGATCCTGGCCCATAATTATTATGTTGATATAGGAACAACACCAACACTGGGATGTTGATGTGTCTCATATCCCCGTGTTGATGTTGTCCCACATCATCCTAATAGTATTTGGGTTACAGTTCACTATTAATACATATACTATATGTATTATCTGTCATCCACTTTGTATTGGTAATTTCTTAGAGTGACTGATTTAGCCAATGAATGAGTTCGAGACTTCCTGTTCTGGACAGCGAATGCAGATGACATTTTTTTAGAACTGGAAAGTATAAAGATACTTTACTGGTTATCCATTCCATTTTTATCTGTGCACAAACAAAGCCTGCTCAAACAGGCTCAAACAGATTAGTCAGTAAAACACGGACTGCAAACAGGAACCCAGAAGCTCCAAGTACCAAAGATCTGGTTCCTTGCCAACAAGAATTCTGAATATACAAGTACAGAATTAATGAAATGATATCTGTGAATGTTGATAAAAATTATGGAGTAACAGTTTTGTTAAAATTATAGGCGGATTATAGGCGGATGTTAGAGACCCAGTGTTGATCAGCAGTGCTGAATGATTTTAAAGTCAGGCCACTCTGACTCTAAAGTTAATATTTACCCTCTGCACACGTTTGCCTATGATTTTACCATCAATGTCAATGTGTTAAAATAGGACCGGAAGAGGCCAAGAGGTGCATACAAATTTCACACTAAATATGAGACCTTAAATTGCGAAATCAGGTATGACTTTCCATTTTTACAGGCAATTCTATCTTGCAGAAACCGAGCAAATGCTGACAAGTCTTACGTAGGACTGCTATTTAAGCTCCCTTAGTCTGCCTGGAGCTGCTGCTCAAGTGCAAGCTGTTTTAGTACTCATCTACACCACAGCACTTCTTTTTTCATGCTGTTTCTTGACTCGATTGGTGTCACGTCTGTTCTAAACAAAAAACACAATTCTGCTTTACCTGCCACAAAATCTCCAAAGCCGATGGTGCTGAGGCTGATGAAGCAGTAGTAGATGGCCTCTGCATTTGTCCAGTCCTCTTGCTGCTTGAACACAATCATGGGCATGATGAAGAAAAGAACCGCTCCGCAGATGTAACATACAAAGTGGATGAAAAAGCGGGTACATGTCTGCAGCAAGACATGGGAAAGAGAAGCAGTGTTAGTCATCCTCTACAGAATAATCGCTCCTTTTCAAAAGGTTTATCTAAAATCAGGACATCCTTACTTTTCGACTAGTCTTTTTCTCGAAGAAGTCTGAGATGTTCCTCTCTATGGCTAGGATGTACTTGCCCACTCTGTTGAGAACCACAATGTTGAGTGGTATACCGAAGAGCGCAAAGAACACGCAGAAGATCTGGCCACCTGTAGTGCTGGGACATATGTTCCCATAACCTGAAAAACTTTAAACTGTTACTGTGGTGGAAGGAGAATGGTACTATGGAGGGGTGTACTGCATTGTTTAAAGCAAACCTTTAAAGTTATAGTGTTCAAAATATCACAATTAGATGTCTGTAGATCGCAGTCATATCGCAAGTGCAGGGGGCTACTGTACCTCATAAAGGCATGTTTCTACTGCTATCTTTGTTAAAAAAAAAAAACAACAACATTTTTTGTGCACACTATATTTGAACATATTTAAATAACACTTACACAAACTAATACAGTCAAATATTTTAAATTTTTTTTGGTATTTTAGGTTTCATTGGTAGTGAGTGCACTCAGATAACAAAGTGACTCTAGACCAGATCTGCCCGGGAGTTTTCTCTAAGTTGTCGGGCCACTTTTTACCTCAGCTGTCAATGCCGGGTGAGATGCTCAACTAGTTACACGATAAGAGGCTATAAAACTTTGCAAAAGGAGTCCAAAATGAGTCAGTAAAGTTAACGTCTGCCCAATGAAAGCGATACTAAAATGGTAAATAAATGGCCTGTATTTATATAGCGCTTTACTAGTCCCAAAGGACCCCAAAGCGTTTTACACAACCAGTCATCCACCCATTCGCACACTGGTGATGGCAAGCTACATTGTAGCCACAGCCGCCTTGGGGCGCACTGACAGAGGTGAGGCTGCCGGACACTGGCGCCACCGCGCCCTCTGACCACCACCAGTAGGCAACGGGTGAAGTGTCTTGCCCAAGGACACAACGACCGAGACTGTCTGAGCCGGGGTTCGAACCAGCAACCTTCCGATTACAAGACAAGCTGCCAACTCTCCACGATCGACAACTTTTCTGTTGTTAAGTACAGCTGTTAGCTGCAGTGAAGCCGTCTTTGACATAGATCTTACATTGTTGTACTCTGACACTTCATGAATAAACTCTCATACAATGTGACAATGTAATCGATCTGTTTCTCAGAGAGAAAGTGCCTATAATATTAGCAGGAATAACATTAGCTTGCAACCAGTTGTTGTTATTGTTTAGTGGGCTTCTTGTCAGCTGTCTGGAAATCGGACAGTCACATGCTAAATCTGCTGACAATAAGTAACAGCGAGAATTTCAAGAATGAATGCGCACATGTAAGCAGGCTGTCATGTATTAGAGCCCTGGCTTTAGTTCAGGAGATCAGGCTTGAGGTGAGGAGGTAGAGGATGACATTTTACCAAGATATTGGTAGCACTGTCCCTTTCCTTCACATTTTTGCTTCTTTGGTGAAGAGGACCCCTTCACTTTTCTTTATTTTTACTACTTTCTACACTGTAGATACATACTGAAGACATCAACTATATGAAGCAAGATGGAATTATGTATTATGACAAAAGTGATAAAAACTGATAGAAAGATTATATAAAAACTCATATGGCAGGAACCAATAAGCTAAGTAAAGAGGAACCACCGTCCATTATTACTTTAAGAACTGCAGTTGCAAAAACCATAAGCGCTACGATGAAACTGGCTCACATGAGGTTAGCCCCAGGAAAGGAAGACCAAGAGCCACTTCTGAGGATAAATTCATCTGAGTCACCAGCCTCAGAAATCACAAGTTAACAGCACCTCAGATCAGAGCCCAGATAAATGCCACATAGAGTTCCAGTAGCAGACACATCTCTACATCAACTGTTCAGAGACTGTGCAAAACAGGCCTGTATGGTCAAATAGCTGCAAACAAACCACTATTAAGGAAAAGTAAAGAGCAGAAGAGATTTGTCTGGGCCAAGGAACACAAGGAACGGACATAGACCAGTGGACATCTGTGCTTTGGTCTGATGAGTCCAAATTTGAGATATTTGGTTCCACCCGCTGTGTCTTTGTGCGACACAGAAAAGGTGAAGCATGGAGGAGGAGGGGGTGATGGTGTGGGGGTGGTTTGCTGGTAACACTGTTGGGGATTTATTCAAAATAAAAGGCACACTGAACCAGCATGGCTACCACAGCATCCTGGAGCAACATGCCATCCGATATGGTTTGCGTTTAGTTGGACCATCACTCATATTTAAACAGGACAATGACCCCAAAACATCTCTGGGCTGTTTAAGGGCTATTTGACTAAGAAGGAGAGAGATGGAGTGCTGCACCAGATGGCCTGGCTTCCACAGTCACCTGACCTAAACCCAATTGAGATGGTTTGGGATGACATTAACTGCAGAGTGAAGGCAAAAGGGCCAAGAAGTTCTTAGCATCTCTGGAAACTCTTTCAAGGCTGTTGGAAAAGCATTTGAGGTGACTACCTCATGAAACTCATTGAGAGAATGCCAAGAGTGAGCAAAGCAGTAACCAAAGTAAACGGCAACCATTTTGAAGAATCTAAAATATCAAACATGTTTTGAATCTTTTCATACTTTTTTGTTTACTATATAATTCCATATGTGTTCATTCATAGTTTTTAGCCTTCAGTGAGAATCTACAATGGAGATAGTCATGAAAATAAAGGAAAAACATTTAAATGAGAATGGGAAGAAAATATATATATGGTTGTTCCCTTCCCTCATAGCTGACCTATAGTTGTGACCACAGTGGCAGCAAACACAGCTGAGCTGGTGAATTTCCAGAAGCCGTCTGCCGTGTAGTTGCTTTTCAAACTCAGGCCCACCTTTGATGTGTCTTTAACAACCTGAAAAACAAATTAACAATAATAGAAGTAATAACTATAATAAAAATAATAATGCCCACATTTTTATCTTGGTTTTCACTAGTTCTTGACCTGACAGGAACATTTCCCATAAGATCTTATGAGTCACAATTACGTAACTGCTTTGCATACTGGTCCACCTTGTTAAAGAGGTATTGAAACACAATGACCTTGCTATCAGACAGAAAGCAGCAGAAGGTAAATCAATAAGAATATAAGTTAAAATTAAGATAAAGTAAAAAAAAAAAGATATGAAATGCAATATATATATGTATATATGGCAAGAATGGAATAAAAACATTAGCAACTAAAAACAATCAACAAACCAACTTTACAAGCTGTCTGCATTTGCTTTGACACAATGCAAATCAAAGCAGCTTACATCAACAGGCAGAAGGTTTCAGCCATTTATTACATTGGGATTACCATTTCTACTCTTACATGCAGTATAATATTCATTTTTGAGGACAACTTTCTACCTTTAAATTAAGTTTATGAGTTTCATGGGGAATTGAGTATAGAATGTAAAGCTTCATAAATGAAGTCTGGTCAATTTCACAGGCAAAGCAAGTGCAGCTGGGAATGTCTGAAGGAGCTGCTATTTGCATGTAAGCTTGTTTTCCTTGTCACATGAAAACATGTTTATAACTCAGGCTCATTTTCACCTGTTTTGACCCATTACTGTTGCCAGTCACTTAAATAATTTACTGAAGGTATAAAAGACTGAGCACATAAACATCCTGCACATCTATTTTGAATGTACTTTTTCGAATTACCCTCTTCAAAATGTAGGTAATTCAACTTTCACCACCAGGGGGCAGCGTTTTACCAATGTGTGCTCAGTTTGATGGTACAAACGTTTTAATAGCTCTAATAATATTTTATCATACCTATACAATTTTCCTTACCCATGACAGCAATTGTAAAACATTGCAATTAACTATAGATAACAATGACTTTTATCCATACAGGAGTAAAATAAAAATCAAACAAACAAGCAAACATGAACAAAATATAATTATTACGTATAGTTACAGTGTATTGATTAGTGTAAAATTACCACAAATTACCGTCAAATTATTGTAACAAAAAACATAAAAATGTGTTGAAGTAAATTAACAAATTTATGGTAGGAAACATTTTCAAAGTTCACAAACAACATATATCAATATATACTAAGCCAGTTTAAGCATATATTTAGATCTAATCACTGAATAGTTCCAAAAAGCAAACTGTAATAAATTAGTTCCTTCTGTCAATGTATTCAATGTTCCACAATGGTGGACTGTCGCCATAAAGGAATATAAAAATGCAAAATCATTATGGTTGTGGTTAAGATGTAAATACAGTGGTAGAGAAAGCTGCAGAAAAGGTCTATCAAAACGCGCAATCATAAATTGCAGATATGTATAGAAAGTTTGTTTCATTTCCACATTTTTGTTTCTCACCTGAGCTACGGCCTCCAGGCCAGCTTGGTTGAGACATGGGTATGTGCTAAGGAGCCTTTCTTTGTTTTCACGCAAGTAGCTGACGTCCTTCATTCCGAGGTCTCCCTCCAACTTCCAGAAAACCACCCCACCGATCAGCACATATGCCACATAAACAAAGCCGAGCAAAAGAATGGAGGGGATCTGCATCACACTTAACTTTTCCTTTACTCCCATCTTGGCAAATGTCTCAACCTATGCAGCCGGGGACAGACACTGCTCAGGCTTTACCTGCTTTTGGCTTCTCGTGCTGCATTGCAGGCAAATGAACCTCCACCTGTGCTACTGTTTCAATCACACCAGGCCTGCCATGCAAATCCAGAAGGACAAAATAAGAAAAGGCACATGACAAAATCTTAATCTTAGCATTTCAGACCAAGTATGTAGAATTTGCTGATTCATTCTTTTTACCTTAATATTACAGAGAATGGCACAAATGGTAAATGGCCTGCATTTGTATAGCGCTTTACTCAGTCTCTAAGGACCCCAAAGCGCTTTACACTACATTCAGTCATTCACAAATATGATAGTTCAAGGTTGTGTGCTTGTATGGCTGTATTTCAACATGTATTTAATAAAACTACGGCAATTTTACGATTGGGGGGGGGGGGATTTCAACACCATGCTTTTATTAGAATACATCAAATTTAGCAAAGATACAATAATGGATTTATTTAAATCTACTTAAGCTCTCACAGTGCATTAAAAATACTTTAAAAATTGGACATTGAATTCTGCTTTCCCCCCTGAAAAGTGAAGACGTCATAAAACTGACAAAACTGCAGTTCCTTTAATGGCCTCTTGAAGCTGTCTTCAATCCCCATAGACTCCCATGCTAAATTCTCAGTTCACTTCAATTCAGTTTTATTTATACAGTGCCGCATCACAACAACAAACACCTCAAGGCACTTCAGATTGTAAGGTAGACCCTACAATACAGAGAAAACCCCAACAATCATTTGGCCCCCTATGAGCAAGCACATTGGCAAATGTGGGGAGGAAAATCTCCCTTTTTAACAGGAAGAAACCTCAGTCAGAACCAGACTCAGGGAGGGGCGGCCATTGGCCGCGACTGGTTGGCGTGAGAGTAGGAAGACTGGATAAAAGACATGCTGTGGAAGAGAGCCAGAGATTAATAACAAGTATAATTCAAGGCAGGCAGGTCTGTTAACACATAGTGAGAAAAGTGGCTAAAGAAGAAATACTCAATGCATCATGGAAACCCCCCAGCAGCCTACGCCTATTGCAGCATAACCAAGGGAGGATTCAGGGTCAGCACCTAACTATATGCTTTAGCAAAAAGGAAAGTTTAAACTTTAAGTAACTTTAACTAAAAGTAGAGATAGTGTCTGTCTCCTGAATCCAAACTGGAAGCTGGTTCCATAGAAGAGGGGCCTGAAAACTGAAGGCTCTGCCTCCCATTCTACTTTTTATTACTCTAGGAACAACAGGTAAGCCTGCAGTACAAGAGCTAAATGCTCTAGTGGGGTGATATACTATAAGGTAATTAAGTTAAGATGGGGCCTCTATGTTTAAGACCTTTATGTGAGGAGCAGGACTTTGGATTCAGTCCTACTTATTTCTTTAATATGTGCATTGAAGGACATATCCTGGTCAAAAATGACTCAAAGGTTCCTCACAGTGATACTGGAGGCCAAGGTAATGCCATCCAGTGTAAGCATCCGGTTAGATACCATATTTCTAAGATTTTCAGGGCCAACTAGTTTAACTAATTGGTGTGTGCTCTCTGGCTTCATGGATAGATAAAGTTGGGTGTCATCTGCAAAGCAGTGAAAACGAGAGTTTGATCCCCGGCACGTGTGGTGCGGAGTGAAAAACCCGGTTAGACACATAGACACCAACAGGTTGGTGGTGTACCAGGGGTTTCTGTTTAAGACTACGCTTCCTCCTTGCCGTCAGTCAGCCATCCTGCTTCCCCGGCTGCTCGGACAGTCTGTCGGGGGTCAGCTAGCGGGGCCTACGCTACCTCCTGCCTTAACGGCTACAGGGGCCTGGCTAGCTACGAGTTTTTCAACGGTGCGAAGCCGAGTCTCCAATTCAGTGAACCTGGCCTCCAGAGCTGCAGATAGGCTACATTTATTACAAGTATCGAGGCCGATGATTAACTAAACATCTGACACAATGAGCAGAAGAACAGACAGGTGAAGAGGCCATGCCGCTAACGAGTCGGCTACGAGCTAAGGTAAGCTAGCGAAACCCTAAAGACCAGTGAGTGAATATTGTCAACATTATTTTGCGAGTGAATACACAGAGTGTGCTGCTAATTAAGCACGTGGAAATTACACCGTGAAATAAGAAGTTATCTGTAAGTTTTTTTAATTAAATTGCTACACAAAAATACAACTATGTGCTGAAACAGGAAGTGATACTCTACCGTAGAGAGTGACCAAGTGACAGTGCCACCGTGCGTGGAGGGGTGATCATAGCTTATTTCTACGATCGATTCGATTCAGATTCACAAGGTCCCGGTTCAATTCCATTTGAATCGGGGAAATTTTGCCCCAGACAGTCAGAAATATTATAATTCTGATCATTTATCAGGACATATCCATATTTTTATATCTATAAAAAGAAAGCTGACGCTTGCGAGATTTTATCAAAGGTGAATGCATCACATCAGATGTCTTTGTGTCAAAGTAACTGAGCATAAAACACAGAAAAACATGGAGATTTTCCTGGCCTGGCTTTTTATAGCAGATAACCACCTTAAAATTTTCTGCAGTAACATTACCTGATGCTGCTGAAGTGAAGCAGAGCAAAGTTACAGAGGTTTAATTAGAGACACAACTAATCATTTTGCAATTTCATGTAATTTTAAAAAGTTTGCATTTCTTCAGTATTAAACAGCAGAAATGAGACTTTTTTTTTGTCGGAAGTGAGTTAAAAAAAAGCGTCCGACAGCGCTGTACATAGACTGGTGGGTAATAAGCAAGCGAATAATGCAGAAAACAGAGATTTGACATGGGAAACTGTTCTTGAAGTACACTGAGAGGGAGAGAGAGAGCTGTGCATGAAGTGTGATTTTTATTTATTTATTTATTTTTATCGTGGTGGAAGCAAAACATCAAAAGTAAGAGGGAATTCACGACGATGTTTACAGTGGGATGCAAAAGTTTGGGCAACCTTGTTAATAGTCATTATTTTTCCTGTATAAATAATTGGTTGTTACAATAAAAAATGTCAGTTAAATATGTCATATAGGAGACACACACAGTGATATTTGAGAAGTGAAATGAAGTTGATTGGATTTACAGAAAGTGTGCAATAATTGTTTAAACAAAATCAGGCAGGTGCATAAATTTGGAAAATAATGACTATTAACAAGGTTGCCCAAACTTATGCATCCCACTGTATGTGAAGCGAAATGTGAAGAGTAGTTTGGATCTTCTTTTGCTGCTGGTTCAATAAATTTTGGCTGGAGAGAGACAAAACCTACAGCTTCAGAATCTAGCGCAAAAAAAGCCAACCTTCTCAAAAAAAGACGTAAACACAAACATATATATATATATATATATATATATATATATATATATATATATATATATATATATATATATATATATATTATTATATTTTTTTTTTTTTATTTATTTTTTTTTCAGTGTTGAATGGATTTATTTTTTTTCTTTTTTCTAATAACCATGTTTTCAACCTGGTACAAAAACCTGTTTGGACATCTATACATATACAAATATATGGGGGTAGTTTATTCTATTATCAGTTTTTTAAATTACAGACTGTTGAATTACAGGTGGCTGAGGGCTCCAGCTGTGTGCTAGTGTTTACGTCAGCTATCTGAAACCAACCTTGTTTTCATTTTACTTCCTTTTGAAGCTTTTTTTTTTTTTTTTAATTGAAAGTTTTGTAATTATGACAGTAATCTACATGAAGAAAACAAAAACAGCAAAAACAAACAAACAAACAAAAAAACAAACAACAAAAAAACCCAGAAAAACAACCAAACAAACAAACATAATACGCACTGACAATAACATAATGGCACAGTGAAACTCTCAGATCTGCCCGGTCTGGGGGAGCTCCCCTCCACCTCTTTACAGGTCCCATGTCGTCAGGTTTTTGCTACTGTCCACGCAGCACTTTACAGTCCATCCCTGATGATATTCGGAAGGGTATTTCCAGTCTCTTTTATGAGCTACCTTATAAAAAAACGTGACCACGTCCTTAGCAGACCTTCCTTCTTTCAGTAGTTGCGTGAAAATACTTAGTTAAGCTCTTGTTATATAACCCACCACCCCTCATCCCACATTACCACCTTCAACAAATCTCTCCCACTTCCTCCAGTTTTTATGAAATTGGTCCATTTTGAGGTTAAAAAAAAAGTAAGTTTTTCCATTCTATATATTTCCTCCATTATTCCTATCCAATCTTTCTTTGTTGGGGGCTCTTTCTCCAGCCACCTTCTGGTAAGCGCTTTTTTGCCCGCTCCCAACAGGATGTTTATCAAATATTTGTCCTTTAAGGAGGCTGCTGATGGGATATCGCCCAAATACACAGTACAGAAATCCAAGTTTAATTTGAGACCAGTCACCAAGTAAATTGATTCAACCACTTCACTCCAGTATGGTTGGATTATTGGGCATTTCCAAAATATATGAAAATGATCTGCCATGTTTTCCCCACAGTTTCTCCAGCATTGTCCATCTGTCAGTTGACCTTTTTGTTTGTATTTTATTTTGGGTGTTATAAAAAACCTAATAAAATTTTTCCACGTGAATTCCCTCCAGTAACCCAAACTAGTAGTTTCCATCTGTGTCCTGCATATATTTAACAAACTGTCCTCTGATATGTTGATTTTAGCCTCCGTCTCCCATTTAATTTTGATATAATTGGTTGATTGATCCTTAAGTGATTGTAAGTTCTGATAAAGTTTAGCAATCAATTAATTTTTAATCTGACCTTTATAAGCTTCTTTTATAACGGGGACTAGGCCTTCACTATGTTCTTCTGTAGTTTTTATATTACTATTGAAATAGGACCTGACTTGGAGATATCTGAAAAAATCTTGGTTTTCCAAACCGTAGGTGTCTCTTAATTTTTCAAAACTTTGTAATCCTTTTTTTCCTAACAATGAGCAAAATGGTCCGATCCCCCTTGTTAACCAAGTTGTATAACGTCTATCTATTTGTGCAGGGATAAATTCCTTATCATGTGTGACCCATCTGAGTTGTTTGAGACCAGCTCCTGATCTAAGACTTTCACATTCATCAAACCATATCTTTAAAGGAGTTTTAGTCCATTCGTTTAAATTATTTTTCTGTTCCAAATATAATTTTTTATCTCCTAGTATTGTCTGTAGTGGTAATTTTAATTTTGTCACATCTAAATATTTTCATTTTGCTTCGTACGACGGATCACACCAATAAATTAAATATCTTAATTGTGCTGCTTTAAAATAACTTTCTAAGTTTGGGAGGGAAAGTCCACCTCTTTCCTTAGGTAGTTGCAATGTTATATACCTAACTCTGGGTTTACGGCCCTTCCATATAAATCCGAAATCATTCTGTTCCATAACGCAAATTGTTTGGCTGGTATGTGTACTGGTATAGATTGAAAAAGGAAAAGCAGTAGCGGAAGTATATTCATTTTGATCAGGTCAATCCTATTATACAGATCAAGTGGCAGTAGGCTCCACCTTTGAATGTTTTCTTTCAATTCCCTTGTAATTGGTGAGTAGTTTAATTCACAGATTTCTGTCAGTGTTTTGGGAATCTTAATACCTAAATATTTAATTATTTTATTTGTATGAATTTAGACAGATTTTTGATCTTTGTTGTGGGTACATAATTGTATGTGATCACCTGTGTTTATTTGAATGTTTATTTTATATCCGGAAAGTTCTCCAAACATTTCCATCTTTGACCATAACTTAGGTAAGCTTCTTTCTGGGTCTGTGAGGGTCAGCAAAACATCATCTGCAAATAAACCCATTTTATATTCCGTATTCCGTATCCATATCCCTTTAATTTGTTCATCCTCCCTAATAGCTTGCGCCAGCGGTTCAATAAATAAAGCAAACAAGGCTGGGCTAAGCGGACATGCCTGCCGACATCCTCTCTGCAAGTCCACTACTCCAGTTAAGCTCCCATTTATTTTTATTCTTGCTGAAGGTAAATAATATAAATTTTTAATCAGTTGAATAAAAGGGTCTCTGAAACCCAACCGCTCCATAACCAAAAATAAGTAAGTGTTGAATGGATTTAAAACAAACTAAAAAGTGGGACAGGTAAAAGCCATCCTTTTTTTTTTTTTTACAGCTCACTTCACCATTTTGATTAATGTGTTTGTCTAAGATAGCCCTCTGCATTCAATTCACCTGAATTTTCCATCACTACACAAATGCAGACATGCTCTCAGAGAAACGCACACACACAAGAGTTAATAAAAAACACAAACGTGTAGCAGAAAACATGATTTCCGCCTGAGTAAACACATTCTCTACTAGATCATCTAAGAATATGTTGAAATAATGTTTACAAAACAATAAAGGCTCTAATGCTGAGAGTCAGCTCATTATGGCGGCGCCTTTAATTGTTTTATGACTAACACTGAAAAAGTTGATCTTCTTAACTTGTGTTTCTGAAGAATGGCTACTTTTTATTTTGCAAGTCACATACTTACATTTGTTTTGTTTTTTTTAATGGCAGTCAGTTCTTGGAGAACCATTACCAACCAATCACACTGGTGGTACTCCTGAAGATTTCAGAGCTGAAGCTAAGTAGAGCGCTAATAGGAGGGATGTTAACCTATACTGATACCAACACATGGAATAACATGGGCAAAAATGTGAGCTGACCCAGTAGGGACTTGGGAGCTACCATGAGTGCAGTATGAAATATCATGGCATTGTTACCACATTCACACTGCCTCTAGTGTTTTACAGCATGAATGTTCCCTTCAGGTTGGACCCATCAGTGCAGAGTTCTGGAAGAACATCCCAATTATTGTGAGGGAGGAAATGTGACAAAAACATGAACTGTGTGCAAGAACACCTGCACAATCTTAAGATGCCAACTGACTCACTTGTCAGATTTTCCATTAAGTTTTGATTTTGACAAACTGGAGGAGATCACAAAATAAAGGGGGGAAAGGGAAATGAGAAGACTTCTGCAATGAGATCTAAAATCTGTCCAGAGGTGCATGAGAAAATAGTGCTGAATGGGAGATTGGCCACATTTAAATGAAGTCAGGCTTTTGATTTTTTCCCCCTTCTGTCAACCTGTTCTCATAACTTTCTGAGCACACTTTGTATATAATATGTAAAACATTTTGCTCTCAGTGAGAATAATTAGAATTAATTAGAACAGTGTTATTTGTGTGAACTGTTTGCATTTTATGACAGTTCAATGCAAATATTTAAAGCACCGATTGTGTGGCCTGAATGAGGTAGAAGTCATCCTGCTTTGTCTATTTTAGCACAGTCTCGCTAAATATATTTTACGCACTGTATATGGTGCTATCTGCAGTCCATTTTCAGATCTTTGATGTGGCTTCTATTTCACTGGATGGCATGTTCTCTGCCTCCCTTTGTTTCCTGAGGCTCGGGTAAGTCTGGTCCAGCACATGCTCCATTATACTAGCTGCCATGTTGAAGATGAGAGCGAGCCAAGCGAGGCCAAAGATGATCCAAATGCCTGCAACACTGCGGTACAGATAGATGTAGGTCTTTCCAGGGTTGGTACCTGCAAAGACATTACGTCCAAATGCCTTTTACAGTCCACTGGATAGAATCACAAAGGTTAGGTTGACTTCTGTGCTGTTTGTTTGCTCTCTCTACTCACCCACCACATAATCTCCAAAGCCAATGGTGCTCAGGGTAATGAAGGCGAAGTAGAAGCCCTCGCCATATGTCCAGCCTTCCACGTAACTGAACAGCAGAGGGGGGATGACCAGAAACAGGAAAGTGCCAGCGATAAAGAACAAACTCGCTGCAACAGCCTCAAATGCTTGCTGCAAAGGACAAAAGGTTTGATATTATACACAGAGATAAAGGCTATCAGCATGCTGTGGCCTACACATCCAATCAATGCAACAAATGTTGATGTCTTTTTGGCAGCACTTTAGTATTTGATAAACAAATGAACAGAGTAGTTAGAGTATTTCTGTAATCTTTTGTTTAAGCCAGTATTTGCTTTCAGTATCTGAAGCAGGTCCAGAAATGTGATGCTTGGCTTGTAATATCTGCCAATTCACATGGGAGCTGTGTAAGATTAGGTTTTGTCAAAGCTGTTAAAAAAGGTATAGTTTCAGAAGCTAAAAGAAACATTTTGGTGTTAGAGGTTTTAGCCAGGAGTTTGTTTGTTTTTTTTTAAAGCTTTTCCACTTCGGTGTTCCAAAAGGCGCAAAATCTATAAAAAGATGTGATTGTTTACCAAACTTTAACCCTGTCCCTAGATTGGCCAGCAGTTACCTGGTGAAGGTTAGGAAAATAAGTGGTATGTGAAAGTGTGAGGGAACTTATCACCTGTATTGCTTGTTTACATGGGCTCCCAGCTAGTTTACCAAAGAAACAAAAATGCTGGAAAGTTGGTGAAGTTTCTTTCTATACATGTCATTTTTATGTCGTGGTGACCACTGATGGTGCTGATAAGGTTCTTCACATCAGAATCTCATCAACACTGGACATTTTAACACCTCATTTTTATTCTTTGGCTTTTTCACTAGACTGTACTAGATAATAGGCCAACCTATGTTAGCTTTAAATGTGCTTATAAACAATTTTGATTTGATGTGATCCCTAAAAAAATTTAACTCCATGCTGTAGCTAATGGACATGAAGCGGTACCTTGTGAGGAACAACTGAGACCAGTCCCTTCTCCAGCCTCCCCAGGTGGATAGTGAAACACTTCCCCAGCTGTTTGAAGAAGGCCAGGTTCAGGGGAATCCCACAGAAAGCATAAAACACACAAAACACCTGGCCAGACACAGTGCTTGGGGAGAGGTTTCCATAGCCTGTGAACCAGATAAGGAGCCGTTATTAAGCGGGGCAGGCATTTCCCACAAATGGGAAAACTGAAATGTGAAAGTGCTCACCGATAGTTGTGATGACTGTGCTTGCAAAGAAGAAGGAGCTGCTGAAGTCCCAGTTACTGGGGTTTGTGGAGTTTCCTGAAGGATTTACTCCATTTTTCTTGGCATATAAAATGACCTGTGTACACACACACACACACACACACACACACACACACACACACACACACACACACACACACACACACACACAAATGCAAGCACAGAGATAGTAAAATCAGGATTCAATGTGCCTGAACATTTAATGACTCATGACACTAAAGGGAGCCAGTAATCTCACTGGCAAATATTTTAGATTAGAACACACTAAATGACTCATTAGGTCAGGTTACAGTCAGCTATTATTACCATGTATTTAACATAATGGTGGGGCCAGCAGCTATAATCCTGTATTCACTGTGTCCTGTATCTGACAACAGCAGAATCTATTTTTACATAATTTAACTGATTAATGTCCGTTGAGATGCATTTAAGGCTGCATCTTCTAAAAGAGTTATTGTCATGATGTTAAAAAAGCTTGTAGTGTAATAATTGATTCTCGTGTAACATCACTAGATATGTAGTTCATTGCATTATTAACATTTATGGTGTTGATAGACATTTATCATGGCACTAGATCTGATGCTGAACACATTTTGGTAGAGTCTGATAATGTAAAGATGCAGCACAAACTTAAAATTGGTAGAAAAACTACTCACATATATTAACTCATTCACTGCCATTGACGTCTATAGCCGTCAATTGCAGTGAATGAGTCAATGGGTTTAACTCATTCACTGCCAATGGCTGGCAGTGAATGAGTTAATTAGCCAGGCAAGGAGGCCTGAATTTTTTAAAAACTGCTGACAATCAGTGATCCACTCTCCAGGATCACTGATTGGAGAGTGGTGAGAAAGCATTTGTTATAACCAAGGTTCACTCTCCTCAAATGACCTCACCAGATCTCAATCCAATAAAACGTCTTTGGGATATAGTGGGCTGGAATCTGCATCAACTGTGTGATGCTATCATGTCAACATGCACCAAAATCTCTCGTGACTGTTTCCAGCAACTTGTTGAGTCTATATCACAAAGAAAAAGGGCAAAAGTGGGTCCAACCAGGTGTATGTAATCTAATCTAAAGTCTCCTGCATGTATGTGTACGGCTCAAGAGCTTGGTCTTATTAGCTACATTGTGGATGTGAGGGGTATGGGTGTAGCAAGAAACTGCGTCCATAATCATACAATTGTTCATTCACTTTCTGTTTTTGGAAGCACTACTGACCTCCCAGTACATTCTTAACCATCCAGACCCATCAGGTTGTCTGTGACAGTCTCCTAGGATAAGTAGCCAGGCAAGTAAATTACAGTTTTCTAATGAAATGAGCACTCAAAGCTACTTACTGTCAAGCCTTCAACTCACATACACACACTTTATTCTATACTCAAGTGCCTTATCTAATGATTTATTATTGCACTGGAAGGAACTCGGGGTTAAGTATCTTGATGACTTCCTGAGCTACAGCCACATCATTTTTAAAACTATGATTTAAAACTATGGAGAAGAAGCATTCATTTTTGGCTTTTTCTCTTTGCTTTTCATTTCAGATTATTTTATGTTAAATTACACATATTTCAGTCTATTTTCTATCTAGAAGGTCTTACATTTTTGTAATGTTGCTCATTTTACATGAGTACCTTTTATCTTTTAATGTAAAGCACTTTGAATTGCCTTGCTGTTGCCTTGCCATCACTGTGTTGGTAAAGTTGGGACTATCAAACACATGCTGACAGTGTAATAAATGCCAGACCTTAACAAAGTACTCCAAGGCGTCTCCATCCAAGCAGGTGTAATTTGCTAAGAAATTCAACTTCTCCATCAGAAAATGGTTTCGATTGTAGTTTTCGGCCTCTCGCTCCAGTATTCGGAAGATGGTGGCTCCAGCCAGCAGGTAGATGAAATGGGACAGAGCCAAAAGAGCCGTCCAGCTCGCTCTGACCCGCACCACGTGAAAGCTCGCCATTGACCTCCCGCCACCAACAGAAAGGATACGATACCAATCAACAAACTTGTTGGAGGAGTTGGTTGTTTTTTTTCTTAGTTCAGAAAGAATTGAAAGACAAACCCTCGTTCAGCGTGAGATTCTTTTTGAAAACAGGCAACGAAAGCGGTTTGCTTAAGGAGAAAGCATTTCTACATCACAGCAGGATGAGGGCAGGCTAATGTTTGGTGAAGCTCTGAGTCGATAGGTTATCAGGTCTCATTCTGCTTGGTCAGAGTCCTGTAAATTTATGGGTTATCTGGGTAATGGCCAAACTTACTTCACCTCCATTAGTGACATCTGGGCACACACATACACTTCCAACTGTTTCCACTAATAAGGGAGCAACATCTTGTCAGCATAACAGAAGTTAATGTTTGACCAGCGGCAGCACAGGCCATCTGATCCCAGCCTGTACACAAGCCCAGACTCACCTACCTCTATAACTTTGGGTTTCCCCACATGCCTATTCCAAGTTTCGGCTCTGACTGTGCTCATTATGATTATTAAGGAGAAACTTAAACAGGATTTAGTTTTTCAGTCACGTAGGTTACAATAATTAAAAAAAATGTCAACACATCAAGAAAACAGCATCAACCATTAGGCATATATGGCTTACACACCCAAAGGTTACCAATTATTTAGAGGCATCTGGAAAAAATTAATCAAACAGATGTCAAATATTTGCTCTGTTTTGGTTTCTGTCATATAAAAAACGGACTGGATGTTACCCAGTGTTTTGTGATTTCCTGTTTTAAAGCCAAGAGTTCAACATTTTTGTCGTCTTGAATTTTGAACTGATATTACATGGTTATGAAGGAGCACCACCCTTTTATCCTCTTTATACTTTACATAACAGTACCATCATTTACAAACTGAACATCATGTTGTATTTCATTGGAATAACACTAGTGACTAAGACCATAATCTCACTAGGAAAGTATACTGATCTTACTCCAAAAATCAAAGCAGGAAAAAATAATGCTTCAGACCATTTTTCTGAGATTTCACTCCAGCAAGTTAAAGGGACTCAGTGGTTTGTACAGTCCTCATGTTCTTATATGTATGCTTGACAACATCAGGGCATGCTCATAATTAAATAGTATTCTGGGGGATCTCCTCCAAGATCTGGACCAGGGCATCTTTGAGCTCCTGGACAGTCTGTGGAGCAACTGGGCTCCACAGTGCAGGGAGCACAGGGCCCTTTAAAGGATATTGTGTCATCAGGCCACCTCATGAAGTCTGTTTTTGATTGTCTGGCCTGCTGGAGTTTATTTTGTAGGGTTCTGGCCTGTTCTTCCTTGTACAAAGGAGCAGATACCAGTCCCGCTGATAGGTTCAGGACCTTCCATACCCCCATCCAGCTCTCCAAGACTAACCTCCCGTCTACTGGAATCTCCTCCTTGTTTTGTGGGTTGTCTCATACAGTGCACCTGTTCTTAATTTAGTTAAAACCAGACACTGAACAGATCAGTATCCCAAAGTTTTAACTGACTTGATGCTATACTAAAATTTAAAAGTTGTCCTTTTTTATGAGCAGTGTACGCAAAGTAAAACAGCTTCTAAGGAACTAGTGCATTCTGGGAAGTGCAGCAATCCTAGCACATCCCTTAAAGTGTTCGGTGGGGGGTGTAAAAGAAGAAGAAAAAATGCATGTCATTGTTGGTCAGAAGATTTTTTTTTTTCCATGACCAACTTTAGATCAATCTTTAGATTATTGTATTCTCTGCAGATTTACACAGTTTTCACATTTTATTTTTATTAAAAAACAAAACAAAACATGCTTCAGCTCTAATTAGGCAGTTTTTCTTCCTGGGAACACCCTCTCTATTACAATTACCAGTGAACCCAGTGATCGGAAGTGATGTTCCCGAGGGAAATAACAGGTGTAATGACGTGACCGAAAAAGGACCTTGCTCCAAAGCCACTCAGCCTCGATGCAAAGCGTGCATGTGTCAAACAAATTGATGCAAAGCCATGTAAACCTGTTGACAGGTCGTCTCTGTTTGGACAAATGGCTTTGAGGTAGCTAGGTAGGCAGACACAGCTTATTAGCTGATGCTGATGGAGATATTGATTTTTTTTTTTTTCAAACCTGACAATCTCCCTGAGATAGCAGTAAACAAGCCTCAAGTTAAAACTTATATTATCGTTGCTTACTGTGGAAATAGGTGCAGTGATTTACTAACGTGTAGAAACATGCATGTAATGACAGTGTATAAGACAAAAACTGTCTAATGAGTCGGTATTTAGTAAGAAAACCTTAATTATTGAACACAGCCTGAACTCTCTATTTTAAACTTCCTTGTCAATTTTTTATGGAGTCTTCAGAAATAGTTCTACGGGTTACTTGAAAGACATCCAATGCTCTTTTTTGGATGGTGGTTGCTTTTTTTGTTCTCTGGCAGATGTAGATGATCCCACACTGTTTCAATAATGATGAGGTCTGGGTCACAGCAGGCTAATACATGACTGACTGTGTTTCACTCTATATTTTTACATGCATACTTTCACATTAGCATTTGAAATTTGGGATCAGTGTCATGTTGAAAGAGGAAGCTGCTACCAATCAGCTCTGGATTTTTCTTTTCAAAGGACACGACTTTCAGATAGTGTTCACCTGCTATAGGTTTTAGGCCTGGCACTACTTCTTTTGTCCTTCGCTTGTCTAGTTTCCTCAAAATCTTTAAGGACACACTGCACACCATGCAAAGACATGGCAAACTTTTACCTAACTAGGAATTACTGGAGTGAAAAAATAGCCAATGGCCACAAAAAAACTTCAGAAAGAACTTCAGAAAGACTGGACAACAATTTCTCAATTCCTCCTTGAAAGTATAATATAAAGAAATGAAGGGTGTGTCAAGAGCTTTCGCTGTTCTGTGTCTAATAATAACTATTTAGTTCAGAATCCAACAAGAAGAGTTTGTAACACAATCTGAATAGAGCTTTTTACCGACTGGACACTTCTCCATGGGTGTTTCTTTACCTTTGGCACAGTGCATGCTGGCATCATTTCCCTGAACAGCAGCTCAGATCAGCTGCAGTTCCTGTAGCGTCCACTTGGTGCTGGCTCCAAAAGTAACTCCTATGTTAATGTCAAACTTCATAGCAGAAATAGATATGTTTACAGCCTGTTAACATGTTAAGGCCTAAAGTTTACATTAATTAGAGGTGTGGCTTCCTTAGTGACAGGTGAATACAGACACAGGTGGCTTTAGGTGCAAAGGGAAGGAGGGGCTCAGGAGTCAACCCATGTAGACAGCAGCCCAGTCCTGCTGCCAGTCTTCCAGTGCTGGACAGATCTGCCTGCCTAATTTGGATGGGAGTAAAGGTTCGGAGGCATTTGGAGGGGGGAGGGGGGTGAGTGTGTGTCTGTGTACATGAGAGATTTGTGTGTGTGTGTGTGTGTGTGTGTGTGTGTGTAACCTGTGTTCAACTTGAATGAGTGTCCTTTCACCCGGTTAAGCAAAAGTCAACAGTCCTCCAGGTGATGCAGGTGACCTTGAAGTATAGGAGCAGATAGTCAAAACACAGTCCTGTTATCAGGGAAATTTGTTGTTTTGGGCAGTCTTGGCCTTGACAGTCTTGAGTAGCTGCATGAAGGAGATGGTTATTTGGGTTCAAATTAACAACTGCATTCCAATTTCGCATTTGGTCTAAATGTCCATCACTGGTCATCAGGTCTCTCAATTCCCGATGCAGAGCCGTGAGCTTCTCCAAGATCTTATCAATATTGCGTTCAGTAAACACAGTCTGAGTACTCACGGCTTGACCATGGTCAATCGTGTTGGCCAACCTTGTGGGGTTTTGAACAGCTGTAACCGCTTTTTTTGTTCTTCGATAAGCCAGGTCCGCTCCAGCTCCAATCAGCCAGAATACTGTTATCATGGTCCAGAACAGGTAGATCTCGTTCAATGCTGTCCAACGAGAGTGTCGCCAGGAAATGACGCAACAGCAGCAAACATCTCTGCAGGAGAATCGGGCTCTCATAAGTCTTTAAGTTTTAGAGAACAAGACTGAGAGACTATCTGAGGGTCAGAGTGAATGCCTGATGTAATTTTAAATCTGCTGCACAAAAACTGTTTTTGCTTATATGATCTCATACAGATCATCTTCAAATTTCAGGGAGACCTAAGAGATACTCTAATTTTTTCAGTACAGCTGTTAGAACTATAGTTGACAGTGGTTTTCCACTTTTCCAGTTAAATTCCAAAGTGAAAAAAAGCCACTGTTACACCTATTACATATTATCAAAGAGAAATAAGGAAGCACTCATGAAAAAAGATTTATTACTAATATAAATGGCAAAAGAAAATGAGCTTTGTGCATCAACAGCTATGATCTGTGGATTTTAAATCACAAGGCAGGCAGAGTGGAGAGTTTAAAACTAATACACAAAACAAGAAACTCAGAAGTAAGAACAGCAGTAGTGTGTGTCATAGCATCGCACAATTCTGCTTCATTTTTTTTGTACATTTTAAATAGGAAATGTCCTGATATTATACACTTTTACACCCCTTTTGAATAAAGTAAAATTAGATGGAAATATGAAAGTTATTTGTTTCTGCATCATTTACATAGTTATGATTCATTACTTCCACAAACTGGAGGAGCCGGCTTCCGACTGGCCGCTCCTTCTTCTGATATCTTGAGACAAAATTTGTCAAACAGTCGGAGCAGGCTGTGATTTCCACTCATGACCATTATATCACGTCATTACCAGGAAGAAGCCAGTAACTGAGTGTGCACATTTGACAGCAGGCATAATGTGTGCGCGTGTGTGTGCGTGTGTGTGTTGTATTTCTTGGAGAAGCCTAGTACCCATGTACCGGGTCATGAGTAATTATTTCAACTGGTAGACGTGGTGTCACGGTTCTGGGTCAGTTTCCACCCAGTATTTTGAGTTTATTATGTTTTGGTTTAATTTTGCATCAGGGATTGTTTTCTTGTTCTCTTGCTGTGTTAATGATGATGATTATGATGTTTATTATTAGAGTTTCATGTTTCTGTTTGTGTTTAGGATTTGTTCTTCGGTTGTGTCTGCTTAATATATGTCTAGTTCCATGTGTCATTTTCTGTCTGTCTCTCAATGTCGAGTCTGCGTCTTATTGTGATGGTTTCTTGTTCCTGTTTTATTGTGAAGGTCTGCGTCTCATGTGAGTGTGTTCAGTTTTACCTCTCGTCTCGTTAATGACTCCGAGCTGTGTCTCCCACCTGTGTGTAATCTCCCTGTGATTCTCTGAGTGTATTTAAGTCATGTCTTCTGTGTTTGTAGTTGCTGGTCTGTCTCTGTATCCACCCTGCTTCATCTGTGTGTTTCCCTGCTGTCAACCGCCATCTGTTTCCGCTCGCTCTCGTTCATGTTCAGGTTTGTGTTCTGTACTCAGTTTGTTCCCAGTATAGTTTAGTCTTTGTTCGGTTCGCCTTTTGTCCATTTTTATTTTGTGTTTAATAAACCACCATCACACCTTTACAGGTGCCTGCGTTTGGATCCTCCTTTATTTTCCACACGGCTCATCTCACTCGCCGTGACACGTGGAGGTCAAACTTGAAACACATCACTGCTGATGTTTGCCTGAAATTCAGAAAACAACGAAAAAGTTAGAATAAGCTATTGTGTGGCGATGTTCAAATGCCTTTGCTAGTGTTACTACACTTCCCAGAACGCACTAGTGTCTTGGAAGGTGTTTTGGGAAGACGTATACATAAATATAGAAAGAGTAAAAATTGACACTGGTAGTGCCCAAATAAAGTTGAGGAAAGAACTTAGTAAACATTTAGTGGCGAAAGCTATAATGATGGAAGAAAAGACGAAGAAAAACAGTTTAATAAACTAATAAAGCAAGAAAACAAGCAAGAAGAAAGTCAGCAGTTATTTTCCTGATAACTCCTGAGATTAAAAATCTTTTTGCAACAGTGTCGTGACCAAGAGAGATAGCATTCAAGTAACACACATGAATCCATACAGCAAAAATACTGTATTCAATATTAATGTTCAAGCAATTATTGAATTAATTCAACCTCAAATTCGCTCAGTAAGACTAGCTCCCTAAGTTGTAGTGAATGTAAGCTGGTAAGTAAGGTTTGTAATAAACCTCAGGGCTTTGTGAAAGGAGTGTCCACCATATATGTATGCTGTCTGTGACCATAATGCAACACTGTGACAGAGAAGTGGAAGCAACAAGTCTCTTTATTCCCTCAGTGGACAGAAAACGAGGATAAAGAAAGCTACGAAAAGTCCTGAAAGAAGCTAAACTTTATTGTCAGGCCAGCAGAGGGCGGTGTTGAATGCATAATGCATACTGTGCTTAAGGTGCGTTTTTTGCATGTGTGTATCTGTGTGTGTCACCTGCCCTGCTGACGAGATTCTGCCTAGCCCTGATAAAAGCCAGGATGTCAGCATCAGTTTGCTGGTCTCCAGTCAGCGGAATAGAGGATGAGACTGTGGCAGAGGTGAGGGTCCTGAAATGTATGAATAGTTACTGTGACAGGCAGCCATCATCATTCATTGCTTTAACAACCCAGCAGTCCTGTTATTCTTGACTATTCGTAATCCAGAGGTTTATAAGAAACAGGTAACAATGCAGTCTCTGCTGGTGGAACAAAAGCACGAGTGTTTAACTGTGATCGTAAAAAGGTAGCTCAGGCAGCAGTGAGGCCTGTTTGATTTGTTAGCACAGTTTGTAGACATTACTTCACAAAGATATAAAAAAATCATAGCCGTGCTCATGACTGAAAAAAAACAAAAACACTGCAAATCTATAAAATCTACACGTCTATATACAGATTTAAGTGCTTCAAAATGTCGACAATAAATCCAAAGAACTTTCAGTTTGTTTTAAAAATGTAAAAAATAAACAATAGACAATACAAGGACTGTGATGTCTCTTATTTCTAAAGAGATATGAGTGAAGTCAATAGTTCCTCTGAACATGTTAAATGGCAGAACTCTGAGAATATACTGGAAATAAAGCTCTGTCACTTTATTCTTTACAAGTGAAACAATAAAATACATGCACCCCCATAATTATGTTCATTAATCTGTATTAAATCTCACAGGATCTCCTGTGAGATTTAAGAAATGTAAGCATTTTATTTGTAAGTATTAGTTCAACGATGTCATCAAAACTAAAAACATAATAAAGATTGAAGTTAATAATAAAGATTCAAAGTTAAAGGGCACACGATAATGATCATAAAAACCCCCACGTAGCTACATGTGACAAAAGAAAAAATATTTTTTAGTAACATGTATACAAAGTTATACTTAACAAGACTGTGTCACTGACACTGTAGGGCCTAAATATGTTGTTCCAAAGGATTATTTTGGCCAGAAATAGTTTAAAACTCCTCTTTTGATTGTAATATTTGTCAACCTTTGTTCCAGGCCGCTGATTCACATACTTCCACTCAGAAGAAGGGGTGAAGTCTGTCACCTTCCTGTTCACAGGGTTATTCTGCCACGCTGGCACAGCTGGTCCTGGAGGTTTGCTTTCAAGGGTAAAACTTCTGAAATTCAAAGAATCAGTGTATGTGTATATATATAGTGTTACATATCGTATGGCTACATGCAGTATAACCCATCAGTACCCAGAGCAAATAAATGAGAGGATCAGTGAAGCGTAGCTGACCTGAGCTCCTGAGCAGAGATAGAAGGATCTGGATTCAGGTGTCGGCCTGCTGGCGAGTCTCTCACAGTACTGCTGAGAGCAGGAGCCCTAATTAAAATTAGAAGAGTATTTCATGAAGACTGACAACAAAATACCACAGAACATTATATCATCTGTAGGAAATGTATGCATGTACATGAGCCAACCACCAGAGGGCGCTACAACACAAAAATAGTTTGTAGCAACATTTTGTTAATGGAGTTTCTGCAAAGTTCACTGAGTTAAAACTAAAGCTGCCATATTCTCAGCTCCATTTTTCTAGTTCTTGTACTATATTCCTTATAAAAAATGGTGGTTAATAATTTCTTTAATCATTTTCAACATTTGTGATGAAGTTTAGGTCTTTTAGTATTGTTTGTATCTTTCACATAAAAACATTGTTTTATTGATTTAACATTGTTCCAGCAATTGTTTGCTATTTATTAAAGTAAAAAAAGGTTTTATAGAAACAAGCTGCAGGTTGCTGGCTAAAAATCAAGTGTTCAGGCACGGAAATGAAAAGGAAACTATAATATTATTAATAAATCAGTAAAAAGAGAGTGGTTCTCATTATAACTTCGCTAGTTTTTATACGTGTATGAGCTGAATAGAAGCTAAAAATGTCTATTTAATACACAGTTAATATTAAGAGTGCATACCAGCCAACTGGTCAGACCTTTATTACATCTTTTGCAAGGCTGGGCAAAAAGCAATCTCACCCAAATCCCGGAGCTCGAGGTGTAGATGGCTGTATGGTCCTGTTCAGTGTCCCAGTGTGACTTTGGGCTGCAGCCTCTGACTCAGACTCCTGGTTACAAATAATGAAAAGTTAATTTACTGAAATATTTCTGTACCACTTCTCTACAAACAACATCATGCCAGCCTGGTAACAGTTAAATGCAATGTGGCCATAGTTCTCTTTAAAAGGACCAGACAACCTTAGGTATTTTGTGTCTTCTGGCTTTGTCATAACACAAAGTTTAAGCGATCACATGTGTGCAGAACAATAAACGTGTGAACAAAGCTGATGAATATATACAGGCACGAAAAAGGACGTCCTGCTTTGTGGACTCAAACTGCATGTGTAAGGCCCGTCTGTTGGATTTCCTCTGCTTCCCATTCGTCACTCAGTGACACATTTCCAAACTTTTCTCAGATGTGAATGAGATATTCTTCTCCATTCATAAGATCAAAACCAAAGAGCGGCAGCCAGCGACGTCTGCTCATCACATGTTGGTGCCTAACATCTTCTATGCAGTTGGTTTCCGAAACCAACCATATGACAGCCATCAAGGCTGAGGAAAGCGTGCAAGTGGAGAGACAAGTCTAACTTGGTTTTAGACATGAAATTTTATCAGCTTTTCTCTCTTTAAACTTTTGCACAAGACTTATCTCTTATTACCCACAGACAGATATAGCCATGTAGATACTGGTAAAGTACTTACACATCATACGGTAAAAGCTCAAAAGTTGGTTAAAGGTACAACTGAATGAACTATATTTGAATTTTTTCTAGTATCTATACTGTGAACTTTTTCACTGTGACTTTGACTGGACCATCGCAACACCGCGATGCTTTTTCTTTTTCAGCCGTTCTGTTGCAGATTTGCTGCTGTGCTTGGGATCGTTGTCCTGTTCTGTGACCCAGTTTGAACCAAGCTTTAGCTGTGAGACAGATGGTCTCACATTTGACTGAGATGTAGCTCTTGGGTGTTTTTACAGTTTTGCTGAGCGCTGAGTGCTCCGGACCTGGGGTGAATTTCCTGGGATGTCCACTTCTGCGAACACTGTGGCATTGTCCCGACACACATCTGAATGCTCCAGACGGCAAAATGCCAAGGCTCCTGCTTTTATAAACCTGCTCACACATCCTGATAATTAATTAGTGAATTGGATTATCAGCTATTTAGCCTCTGAATTCCTATGGAAGCAGTACATAGCTGTATGGAAACTTTATTCTTCACATGTCTGTTAAAGACTGTTAGCCAACAATTTCAATAGCTAAATCTTTAGCTACTAAGATTTATGCAATATTTATAGCGTTATGGCAACTGTTCTCCACTATGTTTAGCTGGCTGCCTCCACTGTGTGACATTTTGTTCCTGTTAATGCTATCTGCTGGGACTGTCCATCATCTGTTGCTGTTCCTCTAAGCTGCTTTCCAGGCTCTTGTTTGGGTCACAAAGAGTTCCATGAAAATGTCTTTGTGTGTATTTGCCTCCTACATATCTTCCCCCCAGGACCGACTGAGCATGATGTTGAACAGAGGCTGCAAGGGTCACACTGGTGCCATAAAGGCCCCACAAGTCAAAGACAGATGCATATCAACTTACACGACCACAGAGCCCTGCATTCAGAAAACAAACGAAAGAAGACATCCATAAACAGAAAGACAAAAAGCCAGAGACAAGGCTAATGTCAAACACGTCTTTAACACTCTTCCCTGGACTTTACATCAGGCTCCCAGATGCTTTATGTGGTGTTGTCACATGGATAGGTAGAGGAAGGTAAGCTCAGCCACCTGCAGACTGGAAGCTTCCTGGCTCCACCACTTATGGAAGTCCTTCTGGAGCTTGACCTTTGACCTCTCCAACAACAGCTGCAGATGCTCAATCTCGGTCCTCAGTGCTTTTAGACGGCCAACGATGCTCTTGTAACTGACAGGAGAAATTAACGGTACTGAATTCAACTTTTATCCACGTTACGAAGGATCTGCTGTATCCAGTCAATGCAAGCAGGGTCTGCCATAGTAATTCATTAAAAAGCACTACAAATTCACCCTGTTTTTTCTTCCTCAATGTGCTTGCAGAGGTTTTCTTCAGCTGGGTCAAACTCCTCCTCAGACCCTGTGTGACTTTCCATGACACCTGTGGTGTAGAATTGATAGGTTGCAGAGAGGAAAAAGGAGTTAAAAACAAAAAAGAAACATGGTCATGTTTTACATAAAATGACAAGTGCAAGATTAGAAGCTGAGAATTTGTGTGTGTCATGAGTCCATTGGCTTCAAAGAAAGCATTTAAACTTTTGGCCTCGGATAATGGAAACCAGGCTGCTGTGAAGAGCTCTCTGATGCGGATCTCCAAATAACAAGAAAAGCCTTTGGGTGGGAGGTGTTTGCATGCTTTAGAACCAGGTTTCCCCATCAAAGGTTTTATCTCACTGATCAAAACAGTCAGAATGGAGCAAATGAAGGCGTCTTAGAGCCTGAGCCGCCCAGTCTTTGGCCAGTAAGCTTTCATTCACTGAGGCTTGCTGCAAAAGCTTTGAAGTGGCCACCAGTAACAGTTGAAAAGGGGCCACAATGTGCTCAGCGTTTATCATCCTGTTTTGAGAAGAGTTCAATATCAAAAAGATGATAATAAAAAGACCTGATACTTCCTCAAGCTGCAATCCCAATGCAAAGGCAAGAAATGTGCAGAAATGTGGTGAATTTTAATTGCTTCACATGTTTGTTGTTTAGATGTTGGTGTGGGCAGAAGTTATAAATAATTTTTACCATAAGCGGCTCTCTGTCTCCTCCGCACATCCAGCTGCTTCTTCAGTTCAGCTGAGAGAAGGAGAACGACAACAAAACTTTTTAATTTCCATCAAGAGACTCAAAGCACATCAATCTCCAAGGCCACTGGGCTTCATAACTTAAAAAAAGTCGCCTGGTTCCACATGATTTCATAAAAGTCAAGCAAGTAAATGCATGACATTGTTTATGAAGAAACATTTTGGATTGTCATTCACCTACTTAAAACCCCTGCAATGCAAAACGGTTAAAACCCATGTGCTGCCTAATACAGGGAGTCCTCATTATAACCCAGAAGAAAAAAACATTATTTCAAACATTACTCTTGATGATCGGCATGTTTGATTTGGTAAGACATTCCGAAAGCTCTCTCCCAATTTACCTAGGATTGAGTGGCACCAGCTAAACTTCTATCCATAACAGTTCTTTCAAATCTCACACTTCGTTTTTGTAATTCAACTGTAATCAACAATCTCACGCAAATCCTAAAGCTCCCTCTGGAGTTGGCCTGTCAAACTCTATTCTTCTTAGACATTTGAACCTATGATTTATTTCCAGATGATTAACCTTTTCTGCACATTTCTAACTTCTTATTTTTACTCTTGAACTCTACTAGACTGGCTTTGCACGACTTACAATTCAGAATAATTCATATTTACCTTATTTATCTTATAAAGTGCGTGAGTACAGCCCCTCAGTTCATCCTCTGCCTAATATCTATATGATCATCATCATCATCATCATATCGAGCCAAGAATAGAAAAAAAAACTGTGAAACAGTGTTTGGAGGAGTATGAGGCCTCACAGGGATTACTTCTATATACAATGACCTCATAAGTTGAAAAATTTCCCAAGTTTATTATGATTATCTACTATACAGTACTGCAGGAAATAAATCAAAACAGAACAATAGTCAAGATGGTGCTGATTTATAAACTTCCATAGTCCTCTAAATGAAGTCTTCAGTAAGCAAAGAAGCAACAAGAAGGAGGCATTCGGGTGAATGTTGATTCTCGTGGCTATAGTGCAGTCTTTACATATGGGCAAGTCATTTACTGTTGCTGAACTGAAGTGTTTAATTACATTGTTGGAGAAATTGCTAATAAACCGCTTCGGTAGTAGAAGACAGTTGTAAGTAAAGGGACAAAAAATGTCCAGGGATGCTTTTGCCATAAGACGAACACAGGATACAATTTCATGTTTATTTCATGTTTAGATCAGAGCCAGGCTACGAGATAAAAGCAGTGTTGAATGGCAGTATCTTCTGTGGTGTTTCCATTAAAGTCCCACAGGTGTCATTCACTTATAGACGCTGCTGTGCTGCAGCTCTTTGTATAATACAACCCTATCTCAAGTGGAAATCAGAAAATGGGAAATCCAGATGAAGTATGTGGGGGGGAGGAGGGGGGTGGGTTTCTGTAACACCTCACATGACGCCACAAAATGGTTGGATTAGAGCTCTTGCTCGGCTTTCTCCTGTGGAATACTTTAAATCTGTTTGCAAAGTGCCCGTGTAACCAGCTCGTCTTCCAGGACCACTTTTCTGAGGGTTTCAGTAGACAGCAGAGACATGAATGGATGATGTGAAACATTACAAATGAGCAGCCCTGACACAGTGTGCCCATGATGACAGTGTTTTTCCAAATGCCTATGGAGTATGAAGCTGGGTTGTGTGTGGATAGCTGAAAATGTAGTTGTACTGAGACGCCCTGTGGCTTCGCGTTGTGGTGAGGTGGGCAGCCTGAAACTTCACTAACAGACACAGCTCTCTCAAACATGACCCACAACCCCTTTCATAATAACATAAAAGGATTAAAAAATATTTATGCCATGACCACGCTATGATGACAGGGTACAAAAAGGGGCAGGGAGCACGTGAAGGCAACATAAAAAGCACTTTTTTTTTTTTTTGGTTGGCTTTTGTGTTCACTCTGATCCGTACATGGTCATGGCCAAAGTATTCTTTAACAGATCTGTTATATTCGCCCGAAGCCCCTGCATGGCCCCACCCTTTTATTTAGCCATAAATTTTCCAAATATCTTCTGTGTAAACTCGTCACACATCTCTCTTAAAGGCTCATGGACTGCACCCAAGCAACGATCTCTTTAAAATGGGTTTGAAAAATAAACTACAAAAACTGCAGTACTTCTAATGTCCACTTGAGGTGGGCTACAAAAGTGAGTACTGTATTGACTCCTATGGTACAAATCAAACTTTAAAGCTGAACTAACCATCTTTGCAGCCTAGAACAAACTTTTAAAAAAAAAAACTTACTTGTTTAAATTCTTTTAAGGAATAAAGTTTGTATTATTAGGGACGTAGATTCTAACGCAGCCAGTGTTTTTGACACCTTTCTGAATACTTTTAATGCAGCTGTCGGACAAAAATATGGCTCATTTACAGACAATCCAAGAAATATGTTAAGTATGCTCCAGTTTTAGTTGGTAAAGTTACTGTCTATAGATCCATGTCTTTGTCTCCTGCCTTCCTCCGCTCACCCGGTCACGGCAGATGGCCGTCCCTCCCTGAGCCTGGTTCTGCCGGAGGCGTCTTCCATTAAAAGGGAGTTTTTCCTTCCCTTTATTGCCAAAGCTCTTGCTCATTGGGTGTCATATGATTATTTGGGTTTTGACTGTTTTCTCTGTATTATTATAGGGTCTTACCTTACTACATAAAACACCTTGAGGTGACTGTTGTTGTGATCTGGCGCTATATAAATAGAATTGAATGGAATTGAATTAAACTGAACTGCATGTAGCCATCCAAGCTAACCAGTGTCCCATTCAAACATGGTCACTTCTGGCTCAAACACAAAAAACAAAAACAATCAAAAAACAAGAAAGCAACAGGTAAAAAGCTCCAAAACAACACAATAGGTGACAGCACCACTGCTACATCTAACTTTTATGTACAGTCTGTGCCTGAATCAGACAATCTGATTCAATGATTTTGACCAGGATTAGACAAATAACCTAAACAACTACCGGTAAATACCATACCACACCTACCATAAATGCAGCCAGCAAGTTTGAGATAGAAAATGTTCAATAGTGACTGTGTGAACTGTGTTTACAGTAAAAGACTGAATACTGGCCAAGGGACAAATATCTCTTATTTCTTCAGGATCTGCAGGGTATCAGTGGGAGGGAGGAGACACCATATACCCAATATGACTCTGGTTTCAAAAGGTTTAATGTACAACAGATTTACTTTTTTACCTGTCCCAGCAATGATCAGAGAAATAAAAAAGAATCAAAACTTTTTGGTCACAAAAGCCAGTTCAAGTCCCAAAACAGACCAAAAAAACAACAACAAAAATCCAGGATATTTGTCAAGTAAAGGTGGGGTGCAGACTTCAGTGCTTCTATTCTCCATCCAGGACAAGATTGTGAGCTCAACACCAAAAACTCTTCCAAACCACACAGGGTTTCCCCCCCACACCACCGTCAGTAGACGTGCTGTCGACTTTAAAGGCTGGTTTCAAGCTACAAGCCTCAATAAATATTTGGTGATTTTTGTGGCCGGGAGGTTGAATGTGATATGCCACATAAATACCAAAGTGAGGTGAGATTTGAGCACCATACTTGCAGCCCAGCTTTCCAGCATCTGACCTATGTGTAGATGAAGAATAATATCCACAAGTAATCTGGTAAATGTTTAAAATTCACAAGACAAATAAAGAACCGCAAGAACACAGGAAGCAAGATTTGTTTCTATTAAACAGAGAGCTGCACTAAACATTCTCCATTTTTGTAGGACAGCTGGGTTCATGCTGCTGTTGACTGAGGCTTTGACCTAAACTATGGACTTTTTATAAACCACTTTAATATACGGCTAATAGCACAGGAATTAATCACAGAAACAGTCAGCGCAGTAAAATGCAGCTCATGTTAACAAAGACTACAATATTTCTCTTCTGGTATTTGTTCTAAAAAGTGTGGCACATCTCCGGCTCCATACTCATTTTTCCTGCATCTGTGGGTCACTTCAGCGAAGGTGAAATCAAAGTGATACCAAAGACGGTGTCACATGCTTGGCCCAAATTCCTCAACAAAGTAAGAAACAACAGAACTGCCCCACCAAAACTGGTGTAAAAACAGGTGTGTGTTTCTAGGAACATTATATAAGAAATCTGGAATTTAGAAATTTTTCTCAGGAATAAATATATAACCAAACCACTTGAATATTCAGAAAGCGCTATTGATTTTGATTTAGGACAACCTCCTGCCTCCACAAACATGCATTTGGAACTGTAGCTGCCTTGTAAAAATACGGCAAAGTATTACTGTGCTGCAGAAAACAGAAACACAAAACTGAGACATAAAACAAAACACAGGAAAACTGAAAGGCATCACCAGAATAACTATGAAGTAAAACAAAGAATGAAAAGACTCAAAGATGTCACAGAAAAGCTTGCAATCTGGTAGAATAAAAGAAATCAATACAGTAATCCAAGAAAAATCCAACAAAAACCAAAACCACACTATGACAGCTGGGGTTCTTCTACAGTAAATTCAAATAAATAAGAATGTTCAGAATCTACGTTCTTATACAGTGGTTTTACTGATCTAGGTCAAATCTGCACATACAGTATCTATAGCAGCGTAGCATTGGGAACAGACTAAACAGGATATTCCAGACATCCATCTCCCTAACAAAATGTTCTGGTTCCTCCAAGAATTTCCCAATCCAGATAACATATATAATTTCTCCCTTTCCAAATTGGGAATGCTCAGAAAACCTCCAAAGAAACAGAAGAGCAATAGCTTTATTCTGAGCTCCATCCTGATGTCCAAACTGTTCACCCTATGTGTAAACCTGCATTCATGAGCTCACTTTCCTGACTACTGCTCAGATCTCAAGTACCGATGATGACTGAAACATAGATTGACAGGTGTATCAAAAGCTTAGCCTTCTGGAGCCATGAAACCACGGTCTCAGACTTTGAGGTACTGATTCTCATTCTCGCCACTTCACACAAATTGCTTTAGTGGGAGCTCAGAATCACATCAGTCTCATACTCCTGCTACAGAAGATGTGCATCTGTGACTTTCTAAATAGAAATCTCTTCTTTCGACCTATGGTTTCAGAATGCGTCTCTGCAGTAGGACTGATCTCTAGAGTCACAGTGAGGCCAAGAAATACAGCATAAACTAGAGACTGATGCTTCCTCTAACCCTCAAGTTGGGTCCTTTAGAAAAAAGCACCTCATATTATCCTAAAAGTTTCCATGTTCTCCTTTAACCATGAGACACAGGTGGTGTAAAGTTTCCGAGCAAACCCTCCAAGATGGCATTAAAACACAGCGAGCCACTCTCCAGCCACTAAAAACACCATCTCTCATCCAGGAAGAATGCAGCTCTGTGCACCTAAAAATGTAATAAGCTTTGACAGCATTGAGATGTTTGACTAAGATGAGGAATGTGGATAAATTAGTAAAAATCCAGTTTTTCCTCGCTTCAGCCTCACTGTGTGGTCTGCAGAACACATTTAAAGAGTTAATAATCTGCATGCTGTCAGGGTTGATTTCTGCATGACATGTGACAGATTCGTCTGTGTCAGCACCTCATGCAGTGAAGGCTAAAGACAAAAAAAATGAATTCAGAGGGTGATAAGTGTACACTGGCATGTGTGGTGCTAACGGGCAAATGCTACTAAACCACTGAGCGTGCTCGGAGGCAGCGCTGATGCCAGGCGTTGGTGTAAACCTATCCATTTCAACGGCATGTGAAATGAGCCACAGACAGAGCAGGGAAATTTATAAATGTAGCTTGCAGTAGTAAACGCAAACCAGATAAAAACACATTTTAACTGCTCTGAGTTTACTGGAAAGTTCAACCAAACATTAATATCATTTAAACTCACTGCCAGCGGCGACAGGACTCGGCTTTTAGTGTTTCTGTAAACAGCAGCAGGTTATGACACAATACTGAGCTTCTAACAAGGCATCTTTTATGATTTCTATATTAAAGTGCACCTTCTCTGCTTTTCCTTTTTTTTCTGTATGGAACAGCTCTAGGAGTTTTTAAAATGAAGGGTTTTTTTTACCTGCACAAAACTGAAATGGAAAAAAAAAAGCAAAAAATAAAGAAACGCAAAAGTAACAAAAGAAAAAAACAAGAGAGATCAGTAATAACTAATAGTTAAATGCAGAGAGGTGTATAAACACATAGTGAGTGAAGAAGAAGAAGAAGAAGAAGAAGAAGAAGAAGACGAAGAAGAAGACTCAGTGCATCTAGCCAACATCAAGAAAGTTATCACTGGAATGTTTTCAGATGTCTGTTGCTATTTAACGTAATTCTTTTAGCTCAGTTCCTCAAAAGGCTCTGCATTCTCAGAGCGTTGTTCTTAATGGAAGCCTCATCTTGTGTCATAGAATGTCGTGTTACATGGAAGTATGACAGACTCCTAGTTCAGCTTGTTTCAGGCAGAGAATGAACTCATAAACCAAGTTTACAATACATAAGAATTATTTTGAATTATGACTCAATTAGAATCCAGAAATAAAAATATTTACTTGGAAATAAGAAACAAAGTGCAAATGAGACAGTCTCTGTCTAATCTTCACTTTGGGTCACTTGTGGGCATTTAGAAGACACACATTGTGTAGTGAATATAGTCCCAGACTAACAACATAAGGCTTAGAACCACTAAGCTTTGGCCTAAGCCAATGCCAAGTTTACCCGTTATGGATATCACACAGAACAGCACAAGAGTGACAGCCAAGTAAAAAGCACAGGTTGGAATCTTCAGTAACCGGAAATCCAAATGTGGAAATCTTCAGGCTGTTTCAAATGTATTAATATGGAACTTGTTAAAATAACTGGCCAAAATAACTAAATTGGGAAATATTCAAAAGTAAAGACACAAGACAACAAATCCAAGAAAAATAAAACTGCATTATTGTCGCCTATTGTCAGAAAGAAACAGGTGAAGTAAAATATGAAACTAGTTAAATATTAAATATCAATCAAGCTGAGGACGTTATGTTGCCATAGTAACAACAGAAGCTTCCCAACATCAAATCAACGCCCTTTCAGCTTCTTCCTATACAGTGGTATAAAAAGTCTTTGTCCCCTTCCTTATTTCCTATTTTTTTTTATATTTGTCACACTTAAATGTTTCAGATCATGAAACTAATTTTACTATTAGACAAAGATAACTTGAGTAAACACAAAATGCAGTTTCTAAATAAAGGTGTTTCTTATTAAGGGGGAAAAATCCAAACCTACATGTGAGGAGCAGGGGCAAGCACTGTTTTTACACCACTGTATCTCCGAACACACAGAAAAAGAAAAACCTTTTGAAACATATAGCGAAAGGCTGTTGCTATCGCAGCATGAACCTCCAAACTGCTCGCTCTTTGGTCTTAGCTTGCTTCATGCTATGTTAGCTCTTCTGCTGCTGATGTGTGGTAAAGTAAACACAGAAGAACACACCACAGAACTCAATGGAGCGTCTTATCAACTGTATCTCAGTTTCCATTAGGATGATCAAGTCCTTTTGCACTGCTTCCCAGCAATTTGCTCTCCGATGTGTGCCTTTCTCTTGTTTTGTATATATCCCTCTCTTCTGTTTGCTATTAATTCCTGATGATGTCTTTACTATTTATATCTTTCTTTTGAATAGAGGGCTCTATTCTATTCTATGACAGAAGACTGCGCACCTGAACATTACGCAGCTCTTGAGTGCAATGTGTTTTTCAAAAAGAATGAGAAAACTTACTGATTCTGTTTCTGGCTTCATTCAGTTCCTCTCCAAGTTTCCGGGCCTCTGCTGATCTGTTCAAAAGAATCAAAGAATTAAAAGCAAAGTTCACCCCCAAAATCACATTTACATATGCTTCCTCTGGCCTGTTGTGCTGTTTATACATCTGGATTGTGGAAATGTCTGGCATCTCTTAAGGATAGAAAATCCACTGAAAAACAATACAACAATAATGTGTCTTTACTAGAGATGGACCGATCCGATATTACGTATCGGTCCGATACTGACGTAAATTACTGGATCGGATATCGGAGAGAAATAAAAAATGTAACCCGATCCATTAAATGTCAATAAAGCACCTCACAAAACTTGCGACACAGCGTAACTCGGCCCATAACCATAGCACGTCGGAGCAGTGTGCTCATGTGATAGAGCGGTTGTGTGTATTTGGAGCCTCCTACCAAACCGGCATTTCATCTCCGAGGAAGTGATCCCAGAGAGAAGTAAAGCAAGTGTGTAAGTTAATATCTGAATGTTTGTAAAGCATTCCCACGTTAAGCTTAACAACCAATATATGGAGCGACTGCCTCTTCTCTCTCCCTCCCTCTCCTGTTGCTACTTCAGTCATGAAACTGATTAATGATCAGCTGATCGGCTTTTCTGTCCAAGTCCGTCTCTCTTCTTTGTTTTTGGCCCACTTTGCGCCAGAAAGAGGAAACCAGCGGCTGAACATCAGCAGAATGTTTAACCTTGATAAGCTGTTGTTAGAATTTATTTAATATTACTTTCTGGACCAGGATCTTTTTCTACGCAGCTGACGGCTGGTAACTGTGCAGGGGCGGATCTAGCAAAGTTTAGCCAGGGGGGCCGATAGGGCAGGGAAAAGGGGGGCACAAAGACATACTTTTCTTTCTTATTCTCATTTAAAATGTCTAGCTTTTAATAAATAATTATCTGAATCTTACACCCAAAGTTTTAATCTGATGTAAAATGTATAGAAGTCCATTACTGTATATACAGGGAGTGCAGAATTATTAGGCAAATGAGTATTTTGTCCACATCATCCTCTTCATGCATGTTGTCTTACTCCAAGCTGTATAGGCTCGAAAGCCTACTACCAATTAAGCATATTAGGTGATGTGCATCTCTGTAATGAGAAGGGGTGTGGTCTAATGACATCAACACCCTATATCAGGTGTGCATAATTATTAGGCAACGTCCTTTCCTTTGGCAAAATGGGTCAAAAGAAGGACTTGACAGGCTCAGAAAAGTCAAAAATAGTGAGATATCTTGCAGAGGGATGCAGCAGTCTCAAAATTGCAAAGCTTCTGAAGCGTGATCATCGAACAATCAAGCGTTTCATTCAAAATAGTCAACAGGGTCTCAAGAAGCGTGTGGAAAAACCAAGGCGCAAAATAACTGCCCATGAGCTGAGAAAAGTCAAGCATGCAGCTGCCAAGATGCCACTTGCCACCAGTTTGGCCATATTTCAGAGCTGCAACATCACTGGAGTGCCCAAAAGCACAAGGTGTGCAATACTCAGAGACATGGCCAAGGTAAGAAAGGCTGAAAGACGACCACCACTGAACAAGACACACAAGCTGAAACGTCAAGACTGGGCCAAGAAATATCTCAAGACTGATTTTTCTAAGGTTTTATGGACTGATGAAATGAGAGTGAGTCTTGATGGGCCAGATGGATGGGCCCGTGGCTGGATTGGTAAAGGGCAGAGAGCTCCAGTCCGACTCAGACGCCAGCAAGGTGGAGGTGGAGTACTGGTTTGGGCTGGTATCATCAAAGATGAGCTTGTGGGGCCTTTTCGGGTTGAGGATGGAGTCAAGCTCAACTCCCAGTCCTACTGCCAGTTTCTGGAAGACACCTTCTTCAAGCAGTGGTACAGGAAGAAGTCTGCATCCTTCAAGAAAAACATGATTTTCATGCAGGACAATGCTCCATCACACGCGTCCAAGTACTCCACAGCGTGGCTGGCAAGAAAGGGTATAAAAGAAGAAAAACTAATGACATGGCCACCTTGTTCACCTGATCTGAACCCCATTGAGAACCTGTGGTCCATCATCAAATGTGAGATTTACAAGGAGGGAAAACAGTACACCTCTCTGAACAGTGTCTGGGAGGCTGTGGTTGCTGCTGCACGCAAAGTTGATGGTGAACAGATCAAAACACTGACAGAATCCATGGATGGCAGGCTTTTGAGTGTCCTTGCAAAGAAAGGTGGCTATATTGGTCGCTGATTTGTTTTTGTTTTGTTTTTGAATGTCAGAAATGTATATTTGTGAATGTGGAGATGTAATATTGGTTTCACTGGTAAAAATAAATAATTGAAATGGGTATATATTTGTTTTTTGTTAAGTTGCCTAATAATTCTGCACAGTAATAGTCACCTGCACACACAGATATCCCCCTAAAATAACTAACTAACTAAAAACTACTTCCAAAAACATTCAGCTTTGATATTAAGTTTTTGGGTTCATTGAGAACATGGTTGTTGTTCAATAATAAAATTATTCCTCAAAAATACAACTTGCCTAATAATTCTGCACTCCCTGTTAGGGATGGGTATCGTTTAGGTTTTATCCGATACCGGTGCCAAATCGGTACTTTTGAAACGGTGCCGGTGCTCAAACGGTGCTCGAACCGGTGCTTAAAGAATGGAGAACACAAAATTGGTCCAAAAACCTCTCATATTCAGCTGGTTTTTTGTAAAAAGATAACAATGTTAGCCTTTTCTGCAGCTATGGGGCATATATGGTATCACTCTTGGCTGGAAGCAGTGCTTAAACAATGTAAAAAACACAAACGTTGTCCAAAAACCTCTCATGTTTAGCTGTTTCCCTCTTTTTCTTTGGTCATTTTAGCCTTTTTGGCCAGGGTGAAGGGAGTATCTGCCATCAAACAAGAGGACAGCCGCATGTAGCTATGATGATGTTTGCTAGTTCACCTTACATGCATTAATGTAATAACGTGGTTAGCCTACTCAACGTAAATTACACACGAACAACATTAAGCTACTCACGCAGAGAAGAACGGCTGCTGCTGCCATCAAATACGGCGCATTTCTCGGCTTTTAAAAAAAACCCCCGCTATGCGTCGCCAGGTGTTTCATCGGATTCGAGGTGTTACCTCCTTTGACAGTATCACAGTATCAGCTTAAAGCACTTGTTGCAGGCTGCTGAGTTTGCATATTTTGCTGTGAAGTACAGCCAGACTTTTGACCGCTTCGCCTTTGGGCATTTTTAATCTGTAGCTCTGCATAAAAGAACGTACGTACCTGGCCCCACCTACTATCCTCGGAAACGTAAAATGATTGGCTAGAAGTGTATCACGGCTCAGGAAAAAAAAGCACCGAAATAAAGCACCGAAATGTGCGCTGCTTTTCGGTCTGGTTACTACCGTTTATGTCAGAACACCGGTACCCATCCCTACTCCCTGTATATGTAATTTGAATTTTACTCAAAACTATTGCTCCGTGTTTATGAGGGCAAAGAATCATTTTCCTGAGTGAACGTGACTTTGTTAACCACATTCATGTGACCACTCAGACTGATTCCTGGTGTTAGAGAAAGAGGTGCCCGAGAAGAAAACGATATCCTTGAAATGCTGAACTTTGTGGTACTGCTTATACGTTGAAGTAGTCTGCCTTAATTTGGGCATTATCAGGATAATATTTTGTTCTACTAGTCATTAACCTCTGTTTCAGCAGACTCTTGTTGTCTTCAATGGTTAGGTGGTCTTCATGGTCTCTTATGAAGATCTCAAAGGCCTCTTGTTTTCCCATTGACAGCTTGGGGCCTGAAAGAGAGAGAATAAAAATCAGCACTGAGATGCACAGTGTGCTTTATTTTATGAATCAGAAACACTGTGTATATCAGCAGCTCCACGGTAAAAAACATCATCTAACTTGAGCACTCATGCCAGGTCCTGCTGTGCAAATAATAATGGATAATAATGGATTGTATTTATATAGCGCTTTTGAAGGCACCCAAAGCGCTTTACAATACCACTATTCATTCACTCTCACATTCACACAAATGTGAACATGTTCCCACATTCACCGGTACTCTACTCCAGTCTGGGAGCCAGATGTGCGCTACAGAGCTCTACTGATATGGCTGATTATCGCGGCATTTGATGATTAGCGAGAACATAAACACAAATATAAACAGCAGTTCTGAACATGTCAAGATTACATAGCGGATATACCCCACCCCTCGCTGCTCAACCTCAGCAGTGCATCGCACATCAGGAAACATGATGTTGAACTTCCTGCTCACTGCTCAAGTTTTTATTAAAGCTGTACACATCTGCTTTAAATACTGCACTTCCACCAAGGGGATAAAACACAACACAGCAGAGAGCGTTGATTTGGTCTCCTTCTGAAAATGCGATTGAATTAGAAAGGCTGGATTGTAAATTTTATTCTCAGGAAGGTTCCTAAAGGAGTGAAATGACCCAGAAGCATCTGTGTGGTAACCATTATGCACCATCTCTGTGTCCAAATGCACCTGGAGTCTAACTACAAAGCTATGGTTAGACTAATATAAACACATTAGCAAAGGAAGGATGTTTATTTGTAGGTTAAATAGTTCTGAATAAAAGTTCTTGTTGAGATTCCTGATGGGCAGAGGCAATTGTCATCATATGGCAGAAAGAAGACACCAAAATCGGACCAAACTCGACCTAAGAAAATCCTTGAGAAGAGCCCATCCACAAGATAACGTTAATATGTCACTGCATGGTTTGGATTACTTGGGGAAAGGGGAAAGGATCAGTTGACAAAGAGCGAGCGAGTGAATTCGACAAAGTCGAAAGCTGACGGCAGCTCGTGGCCCTTGCTGTCGAGGTAGGGCTTCATGTGTGACAGACAGTAGTCTGCCTGCTCTTTAGTCAGGTTCTGGTAGAGCTCCTCTTTAGTGACGTTCACATCCTGACCTTAAATACTGACACTGCAATCTTAGTCAGTCAACTGTGATTTTTTTCTGTTGCCTCCTTAAATAACACAATGAGATCAGTACAGATTATATTGGTATTAGAGAAAAATCTTACAATTAGCGCACTGTTATTTTTCATGCTATTACATGATAATAAATCTGTTGTAAAAACTTTATTTCTCTTAGTTTAACACAAAAAGCTAAACTTGTATGTAGACATTAAATGACTGGGAGCTATTTATTATTTATAAGTGCTGCATGTATCATGGTGACTGGAATTCACTCTATTTTTTTTCTGTTTTATTAAGAAGGCGAAAAACAAGTTGTTGTTTTCCTCTCTGTTACCAACTGTTTTCCAACTGTTCCTTGGAAAATCCAAAATGCCACCATGATTTCCAATAATCCCTGCACCCCCCGTTAAATCTGTGGACTTATCCGTTCTAACCAAAGACATTCGTACACAGGACACTAACTCATGTGAGATTAATCGTGGGACAGTTAGGAATGCTGTTTCTTTATTTTTGGAAAGTCCTGATTAAAACCAACTTAGACGTGCGCTACAAGAGCCAAACTCTACAAATCAGCATGAGGGGATCTTGAGGGGAAATGCACTCCGGTCGACTCTTGTAAAAAAGCAGCATTCCAGGAATATCTAAGGGTGATATAACATCATATTATGTTGTGCTCACAGAATTTGTGGGGTAATGAGATCACACGGTCCTCAGGCCAACTTTCCTCATTTTTCTTTTCCGTGCTCCAAGTGCAGACAAACCACAGAGGTTTGAATGTGTTGTGAATGTTGTTGCTGCTTCAACAAATTTTAGAGGTGAAATGCCAGCAAAGAGAAGAAGCTAGGAGCTTTCACAATTATTTTTGGGTGAATTTTATGTTCCTACTGCACTCTCACTCACTGAGGTGTCTCCATTTGGTCCAGATCACAGAAACGTGTGGACGGCCTGCTAGAATCATCAGCGTCTCATTACAAGCTAGCCGGATTTACGTTAAGATCTAACTCTCACTTAAGACTCGTCTCATTTCTGGTTAATTCAATTCTTTAACAGTCTGAGCCACAACAGGAACACCTTGTCTTTCTATCAGCGCTCTATGAAAAGAACAGGAAGGAGACACTGTACATCTGTACCTTCATAAGACTCTAAACACTCCTATTAGTCCTGTTTTCATTGTACAGCAAACGCAGCAGAAATCCAGCTCTATGACGTAATGTGCGCAGAGTGCTTCTACAGAGACAGTGGTAATCAGAAAACCCTTCCTAATGTCCAGGTTCTATTATGTGTTGGCTGAGCTAGGAGGCCAAGAACAGAAGGAAAAAACAGAGTCTGACAGTATGGCTTTCAATCATCACAAATGGTTTTCATGGAAAGTTCATCATCATTATATTTACAGTGCATCTTCAGGGGACAGTGATTTTTATCCAGCGACTGCAGCAGCAGGACCCAAAGATTAGACCTAATTGAAATGTACATAAACAGTCAGCGACCCTCTGAGCATGCGGACATGATAAGTGTAGCGCATTTGTTTTAAATTAAGACAGAATAAAGAACAATGATCTAATGTGCATATAGTTTGAGTCTCCAAGTGGGTCATGGAAACCAGCCGCTGCAGATGAGAAACATATGATATCTGCTCTATTGTTAAAGAACTGCGTCAACTGTGTGTCCCTCTGGTATTCTGCTCATTCTGTGTATTTCATAAAAAATGTATTTAGAGCACACATAAGAAGACGCACAAGGACAGCTGTATTTTTCTTATCCTTTTTTCTCAATGCGTTACTTTTAAATCTATGGGTCTAAAAATTCAATAGTTAGGTACTGATTTACTACTGTGGCATATTAAATAAAGGTAACAACAGAAATAGTAAGGTTATTGGAAAGAGTGCTAAAGTGCTTTGCAAAGAATAAGAACATATAATAAATATATACAAAGGAAAAAAACAGATACTATAAATAAATAAAGCTATACAAAAAGTTAACTGTCAGCTAATAATAAAATTCAAAAATCCTAAAATATTCTAAAGATGGAAAATAAATAAATAAATAAACAAACTGGGAAAAGGAGGTTTCTAAAAGATATATATTTAAAGGCACAGGCAAAAGTAGGAATAAATCCGACATTTTCTGATATGAAAATTGTAACTATTAGGAAGAAAACCTGTGAAATGAATAATAATAATAATGATAATAAAAAATACACAGATGAAGGGAGGCAACATTCTGAAAAACAAAAGGATGAGATATGTAAGATTAGACTTCAATTTACATGAAAAAATTGGACATTTAGAAAAATGAAAGCCAAAATAAATAAAGATAAAAAGCTGAAATTCTAATCCACCAGCCTCTGTAAAACTGCTGTTTTACTGCATGAAACTGCAGAAACAACAGATGTTGCACAAAGCTCGTCTAATTCAGTGTGTAATTATGTTCTGAATCCACCCATTTTATGACAGTGTCTCTTTAAAGCTTGAAATTCGAGTTAGAGCTACAGTTATCAGGATTCCCTTAGTGAATTTGACTGCAAAGTGTAATCTTTTTTTGTATATTTTTTTCTAGATAATCTACAAAATATTGTGCATTTTCCCTCAAAAATCTAATCTCAGAGTTTGAGAGTTTTTCTCAGAAATGGTCTCTTTTTAAACAGAGAATAAAGAATGGACCTCATAAATCTTTGTAGAAATGCAGCATGAACACCAAAGTCTAAAAAAACCAAATAAATAAATATTGACCCCACCTGTGCTCCACATAAAAAGCATTACAACTGTAGGAAATGTCTTCTCTGATTCTCCTGTAAGTACTTAGTGTGGTCTTGTGCTTCCCAAAGTTACAGAGTCTCCCTGGACAGCATCAGGCTGAAAGAGTCAGGAATTTCTCATGAAGTGTGAGAAAATTGGTTGAACATTCCTGAGTGGACGTGTAACTACTGCAGGATCTGGAGATTTCTGGGGGTGTGCAACTTTCCCCACAACAGAGTGGACAGTACTAATACTGTTGGCAAAATTAAAAAATGTAGTCATTATATAGTCTGGTTTAAGAATGAAGTCATCTACAAACACCATCTCAGTCTGTGACTCCACAGCAATGCTAAATCAGTCTTGGTCAGCATGCCGTCCACCATTGTTATAATCCTCCAGCCTGGAAAAGGGCACACATTTTATTTTCTTGAGGCAAGAATGCTGCAGCCTCCTTATTTCTGATGTAAACCAGAAGTGCCTCTTTCTTCTACAAAGAGTACAAAATGCTACAAAGTTGCTTAGGTCGTCACCGATGATGACTCAGACGTATGTAGCACCATACCTCTGAGTCTTTATGTAGCACCAAATCACAACAACAGTTGCCTCAAGGCACTTTATATAGTAACGTAAAGACCCGACAATAATACAAAGAAAACAGAGAAAACCCCAACAATCACATGCCCCCCTATGAGCAGGCGCTTTGATGACAGTGGGAAGGAAAAACCTTCCTTTAAACAGGAAGAAACCTCCTGCAAAACCAAGCTCAGGCAGGGGCGGCCATGGGCTGCGACCGATTGGGGATGAGTGGATGAAGACAAGACAAAGACATGCTGTGGCAAAGAGCCAGAAATTATTAAAAACTGCAACAACATAACTGCAAAAGGAACAAAAGAAAAAACAAGAGAGATTAATAATAACTAATAATTAAATGAAGAGTGGTGTATAAACACATAGTGACTGAAAAAGGTGACTGTAGAAAAAATACTCCATGCATTTACAAGGGGTCAACCACAGTGGTTAAATTTTCATATTTAACTTGCCACAGATTTTTACACCAGATGCCCATACTGGCACAAGCATCCCTCCAACGTTGCTTTGTGGAGAAAAGAAGATAC